CCCGGCCAGTCCTCCCTGTGCTCAGCCTCCCCTGGGCGGCCTCGGTCCCGGCTTTCCTTTCCGAAAGGCTGGCTTCTGTGGGAGGGACGGGGTCTCTGAGACAAACCTTCCTTCTTCCCTGCCCCCCCCCCCAGGGTATGCAGAGGGCCTCGGCTGTTTCTGTAAAGACTTGCGGGAAATGGTGCACCCCGAATGTGCCATGACACCCCCCTGTCTCGGTGGGAGCGCCCCCCGGAGCGGAGGGCGGACGGGCCACGCGGAGGGGCGGCTGCAGGCTCCCAGGTGCCTCTGGCCCAGGGCCCGGCTGCACCCCATCTGGCGCCAATGCTGGGGACGTGGGGGCTGCTTTTACTGCAGCAAACCGCCCTCTCTCCACCCCGGCTCCCACCTCTGCAGAGGAGTCCTCTGGCCTCACCTCTGTGCGGGCCGAAGCGGGGTGGGGGCCCTGCTAAGACAAAGCGTTCCTCCCTCCCTCTCCCCCCGCTTTCTCGGGGTTCAGAGGGCCTGGGGGTGCTGTTTCTGTGATGAACCGCGGGGCCTGGGTGGGGAACTGGGTCCAGAGAACCCGGGGAATGTGACTGAGCCCAACCAGGGCCGGGCTGCCCACACCCTGGCTCATGGGAAACAGCTGCTGCTCTTACACCATTGCTGCAGTGATGGTGGGTACCAAGGGCAGCTAGCGGCCCTCCCAGACACTGGCTCATGCAGCACCCGCAGAGGCTGGGGTGCCTCAAAGCTCCATCCTGAGGCCAGCACCCCGAGAGTATGCCCAGGCTGGCCCAGCCCGCAGCCGGTCCCTGCCTGGCAGGTGTGGGGCCGGCACAGCGGCCTGCAGACCAGAAGCGGGTGCAGCTGAGCCCAGGCGGAGCCCCGTTGGCATGCCCAGCTTTCCGGCTCCATCCCCAGTAAGGGCAGGCAGGAGGCAGCCAATCCACGATTCTCTCTCATCAAGGATGGTTCTCTCTCTCCCCCTTTCCCATCCTCTCTGAAATCAGTAGAAATGTTTTGTTGTTGTTGTTTGGTTTTGTTTTAATCTGATTTCCTCCAGCCCAGCCGTTCCCTCTTACGCTCAGAGTCGGACAGAAGCGTTGCTCCAGCGCCTTACCCCATCGCCCGGACCTCAGGCGTGCTGCCTCCTTTACTTTTTCTCTTCGTCTTTTTTCCTGGGTTTTGGCTTCACTCTTTGAGACTTTTCATTATGAGAAATTTCCCAAGTGAAGAAAGCGGCATTGTGACCCGTGTCCCCCCCTCCCGCCCACATCTGCCCGGCTCGGCCGCCCCCGCACCCTCTCCCGGCCCCTCCTGCCTCCTCACGCGGGTTAGGCCCTGATGCACCCTCCCCCCCGCGTGCCCCTGCCTGAGGCGTCCCTGCGGGCGGGACTCCTAAAAAGCTCCTTCGGGAGCGCAGGATCGCCCTCAGACTCAGGAAACGGGGTCCCCACCGGGTCTCACGCTTTAAAAGGCCTGCCCCCTCCCTCCCCTGGCCACGAGGAGCCCGAGAAAATGTGCCCGGCTGGGGCCCAGGCCCGTCCGCAGGTGCTGGTACCTGGAACCTGGGAACTCCTGCCCAGGCAGCTCCAGCCCCTGCGGGGCGCTCTGAGCCCGGGGTGCCCTGCTGGGTGTGGGCGGTGGGCACGGTGCCCGCGGGAGAGCTGGTGTGGCGGAGCTGGGACCCGGGTGCTGAGTCCACACACACGGGCGAGGCCCCTCGAAGTACTGAAGGGCCCCCCGTTCCTGCTGACAAAGCCCCCCTCTGCAGCCCGCGCTCGCCTCCCCGCCCATAAGACTCTCAGTGTCTGAGAGCAGACGTCTGCGGTGTCCCCAATGTCCCTGAGGGTCATTTAGGTCCCTGGTTCCCCGTCAAGGCAGCTCCCGGGGCTGGGGAGCCGGGGAGCGGGGCGCCTGAGGGGTCCCGGGAGGAGGAGGAGCCGGTGCAGGTGAGGCAGGGCCGCCAGGCGCGGGGAGCAGAGGGAAAGGGGTCTCTGAGGACATGGCCCACCGCGTTCTGAGCTCTGCTGGTGCACGAAGCTTCCCTGGGGCGTCTGGGCCCCAGAGCTAACGGGGCCTCCCAGCTCCCCCCCATCCCCCCATCCTCCCGTCAGAGCACACTTCCTCCCTCTGAGCCACGGCCGCCTGCCTGACCTTGGCAATCTCCCCGGAGTGTGTGAAGCGAAAGCCACACGTGGTGCCTCCATGCAAACCCCATTTCTTGTCTGTGCACTTACTTCATTTTGGAGGGGAGGGAGGTGTCGGGAAAAACACCCGTTACATCCTCCACCTCAGCAAGGGGCAGGGGCGGCTTCACGTCTTAGCAGGCATAACCCCCAAGAACAAACAAGGGAGACACCACGCGATTAGGAGCCACTCCCGAGCGGGTCGTGTGTGGTCTCCTCTGGGATCGAGCTCAGGCTCGGTGAACGCGATCCACAGAGCGGGGAGGCAGGCACCCAGCCGGCCCGAGAGGCGGTGCAGACGCGCCCCCGGGAGGCTGGCAGTGAGCGGTCAGTGGCGTTAACCACCCGCAGGCGCAGTCTGAGGGGTCTCCCCCGCCCTGGCCGCAGGGTGTGAGGTGCGTGGGGAGCTCATCGTATAGAAGCATCGGGAGGCCTCGTTTGCGGCGTCCATCGGAGAAGCAGGAGGAAGGCCTCGTTAACAGACCGTTTTGTTAACAGACCCCAGCCCCCTCCCCTCCTCCAGAGGAAAGCCCTTGGCTCTGAGCTGCTGCCACCTCATCCCCAATGCCTCCCCCTCGCAGCCAGGAGCCTGCGCCCCGTCCCCGTGCTGGCCCGGGGGCCGTGCTGTCCTCTGAGGGGGTTCCTCTCAGAAACGGAAAGTCTATCCAGCGGGCAGGAACGTGCTTCCCGCACGGTGCCGGGACACAGTGTCGCCTGGTACAGGGATCGGGGGCGTGCAAGGAGACAGAGGCAGAAGGACACTCGGGACAGGAGTCTCCACTTTAATCATTTGCATTGAGGGGAACGGGAACAGATGCACCTTCCTCAGAAACGGTCATGCACTGAAGGGGGGGGGGTGGATTAATAAAACGGCCGCTGGCCCGTTGTTGGTGCCGCACGTGCTGTTTCGCTTGCTTTTACTACGAACACAGCCCAGGCCCCTGCAGCTCCCGTCACTCAGAGGCACGTGCCCCCCTCTCCCAGCTGACACTGTCCCGAGGGCGACAGCGTGACCCAGCTCACGGGGCCGCCCGGCCCACGGGGACGCGGTGAGCAGTCGGGCTGCGGACAGCATGAGGGGCAGTCTCTTCCCCATCTCAGGGTCTAAAGCGCTGGCACACGCTGTGCCTGCCCAGTGCTCCTGCGAACAGTGAGTGAACGAAGGTGAACACGGCAAAGCCTCAAATGACACATTTCACAGCGATTCCCTGGGAAACTGCCCTCCTGTAGCTGAGTGTGTTCCACCTGCTGTACCAGACACGGTACTGATCATGTACCAGACACCGTACTGATCATGTACCAGACACCATACTGATCATGTACCAGACATGGTACTGATCATGTACCAGACACGGTACTGATCATGTACCAGACACGGTACTGATCATGTACCAGACACGGTACTGATCATGTACCAGACACGGTACTGATCATGTACCAGACACGGTACTGATCATGTAACAGACACGGTACTGATCATGTCCCGTAACACATAGGAACTACCCAAGAAACCCACCACCTCCTAGCGGGTGGCTTGTCGAGACCCTAAAAGCAGACCTCGTGACTGGTCCATCTTGACTGCAGTTCCATTGGCAAGATAGTCCCAACCGGGCTCTCTGGTCAGCCGGGCCAAGGCGAGAGGACTCTGGGTAGCCCAGGCCGCTCTCCAAGGCGAGAGGACTCTGGGTAGCACCGGCCGCTCTCCTGGCCTGGGCAGATGTGCAGCGTCCCTGACTTGCCGTATTGCTTTAGTCCACTGGTCGGCAAACTCCTTGGTCCACAGAGCCAAATACCAACAGCACAACTATTGACATTTCTTTGGAGAGCCACATTTTTTAAACTTCTTCTAACGCCACTTCTTCAACATAGACTCACCCAGGCCGTGGTGTTCTATGGAAGAGCCACACTCCAGGGGCCAGAGAGCCACATGTGGCTCGGGAGCCGCAGTTTGCCGACCGTGGCTTTGGGAGACCGCATGCCCATAGGTTCTAGCGTGGAGGAGCATGCAACAGCGGCCGACAGGAGCTATGCAGTCGCGGTGTCAGTGGGGCTCAACCACAGCCTGTGCACTGAGATATTTTAAATGGTAAAGAGAAAGAAAACAAATAACAGAGGAGCTTGCTCTCGAGGCAACCGTTATAGTACAGAGTTCAAGGCGGCAATCACACCCTCACGGAGCGAGCGGACTGCAGGACGAGAGGGCTGCAGGTGTGCATGCTCTGGGGCCGGACACTGGCTCCGGACACAGGTGCTCCTCCGTCAGGGCCCACTGCAGGCGCAGAGCGGCCACGGGCACCGTGGAAACGTTCCCTCTGCCCGCGAGGCCGTTCCTCAGTCTTAGGAGTGCAAAAAGGACTATACAACAGTGCACCTGCCGTTGGTTGGTTTTCTCACCGGCCACGATTTTCTCTCCTTCAGGGATGGTTTTTCTTCGTAAAAACCCTTTGAAGAATAAAGGGCGTGAGGTCTTCATGCAGCTCATCCCGGTGACCCAGTTCTTTTCCCCAAACGGTGGAAATCGGTGAACTGGCTCCGGGGAAAGCTCACTCCGCGAGTCCTGGAGGTCTCTGGCATCGGACCTCAGGATGTCCTTACGCCACAGGAACCAGGGGTGGAACCAGGGGCCGCCCAGCCTGACCCTGGGGACCCATTTGGGGAGAGACCTCGGTTCGCATAGCTCGGTTCCCCCTCCCCCTCCCCGTGGGGGTGGAAGGGGAGTCTTCGCCCCAAAATGTCCTGGGCTCCGCGCAGGAGCCTTTGGTCCGGGGACCCCCACTCCGAGGGGCGAGGCGCCGGGCACCCAGGGGGACGCGGGGCGCCGGGGCGTCACCAGGGCTGCCCGGCGGCGCCCAGCTGCGCCTGCGACACGGCGGGCACGGCGGTGGCGGCGGCGGCGGCGGCGGCCGCGTCCCCCACGCCGGGCAGCACGGAGCGCACGGAGCGGCGGAACTCCTCGTTCCTCCACGTGTAGAGCAGCGGGTTGAGCGCCGACAGCGCGCAGCACAGCAGCCAGCTGGCCGCCTGCACGGCGCCGGGCACGGGCAGCGCCAGCCCGCGGGCCAGGCTCACCCAGGCGAGCGGCTGCGTGGCCAGCAGGAACACGCCGCCCAGCAGCAGCACCGACAGCCCGCTGAGCCGCCGCGGGGCGCGCCGGGCCGGCAGGGGCGGCGCGGGCGCGGGGCCGGGGCCGGGGCCGGGCGCGCGCGGGGCGGGCAGCGCGGCGGGCAGCGCGGCGGCGGCGCAGCCGGGCAGCTGGTGCAGCAGGTGGAAGTTGAGGACGCTGACCCGCTTCACGCTGACCCGCACGCGGCGCACGATGCCCAGGTAGCAGTGCAGCAGCAGCGCCGTCTGCGCCAGCAGCGCCGCGGCCGCCAGCAGCGCGGGATAGTGCAGGCGCGCGCCCGCGGGGCCGGGGTCGGCGGGGCCGGGGTCGGCGGGGCCGGGGTCGGCGGGGCCGGGGTCGGCGGGGCCGGGGTCGGCGGGGCCCGGCCGCGGCGCCCAGGGCGGCAGCAGCAGCGCCAGCGCCAGCGCCAGCGCCCAGCACAGCGCCAGCATGCCGGCCGTGTGGCGCCGCCGGTACAGCGCCTGGTAGGTGGCGGGCGCCCGCGTGATGAGCAGGTAGCGGTTCAGCGCCACGAGGCAGTGGGACAGCAGCGAGGCGGTGAGGCCCAGGCCCAGCAGCGCGCCCCGCAGCAGCCGGTAGCGGCCCGCGCCCGCCCAGCCCCCGGGCGGCGCGGCGGGCAGCAGCCCCAGCACGGCCTCCTGCGGCATCCAGAGCGCGCACACGCCCAGGTCGGCGGCGCAGCCGTTGACGATGAAGGCGTTGCTGGTGGTCTGCAGCTTGCGGAAGGACGCCACCAGGTAGATGACCATGCCGTTGGCCAGCGTGCCGCCCAGCGCCAGCCCCGAGTACAGCAGCGACACGGGGATGCGCCGGCCGGCGCCCGCCTCCTCGTCCTCGCACAGCAGCAGCGGCGAGCCCCCCGCCGCCGGCGCCGCCGAGGACGCGTTGGCCATCCTGGCGCTTCGCACCTCCGGCCGCTGGGCTAGCGCCCCGCCCGGTGCCGCCTGCGGGAGCGGGGACCCAGGCGGCACCGTCAGCTCCTCCGCCGCACAAAGGCTGGAGCCGCAGCCGGAGCGGCGGGGGAGGGAGGCAGGAGCAGGGGGGTGGCACTGACAGGTGCCTGCCTCCCGAGTGCGCCCGGGCCGGGGAGAGGGCCCGTGCGCAGCGGGCACCGGGGAAGCCCGCGCACAGCTGTGCCCGGACAGCCTCCCTCTCCCCAAAACACACACGCTCACGCGCTCACACACACACACACTCACACGCTCGCACCCACGCTCACGCGCACACACGCGCACACACATGCTTGCACGCACACACACTCATACACGCTCACACACATGCTCACACACGCTCACACATACACACACGCAGGAATACTGCCAGGTTGAGCCCCTAGTTCCCAGGAGAAAGTGGAGGTATCCCGCTGGGGAAATGGGGGGCGGAGAGGAGTTGGGGTACCTTACTTGCGGGCTGGTCCTTAGCTGGCAGGTGCAGAGGGAGAGATGCCAAGAAGTGCCTCCTCTGTGGCAGTCTCTGTGGTCCCCGGACCAACAGGACACACTCAGCTGGGACCAGTGCCAGGAGCAAGCACCTCTGTCTTCCTGACAGTGTCCACGCACACGGTCCTGGCAGCACCGGCAGCTGCCGGAGTGCCTCCGGGGCAGCTGGGCTGGAGAGGCGGGCGGGCAGCTGGGCAGCTGGGCTGGAGAGGAGGGCGGGCAGCTGGGCAGCTGGGCAGCTGGCTGGCGGGCGGACAGGAGGCGGCAGGATGCCGGCGGCCGGGCAGGAGCCCCCCGGGAGCCAGGTGCCCGCCCCGCGCTCGGAGGCAGAGGGGGCTGGGATGAGCCCACTCCGCTGGAGCTCAGCTATCCGTCACGGGGAGGCAGACTGTTCATCCCTGCGGCATGCATTATTCAGCAGCTCTCCCCGGGAACGCAGACACCGCGCCCGGAGTCCTGTCATTAACAAGTTCCTCTGCCTGTCTCCCCCCCTTCTCTCCATCGCCTCGCTCTGCACCCCGCTCGGTCGCTTTTGTTCCCGTCCCTTCAGCGCGAGGATAAAACTCAGGTGCTCCCCGCCGCCCCAGGGCCTCCCACCGGACTGGTGCATGCTGGGGGAGACTCCCAGTCCCAGGACTGACCTCCCCCCCACCATTTCCAGGGAGAATTCCTTCTGTTCTAATGGAAATTTATTCTTTCTTTGGTGCGGTGGGACCTGGGTAATTATCCTCAGAACCCACCCACCCCCAATCCCTGTTTAAATCAAAATTTCGATTTTTTTTTTTTCCTCTTCTCATCGCCACACTCCTTTCGCTCCTCTCGGGGTCCAGCTTGGGTTTCAGTCGTGAGAAGGTGAGAGGGTGGAAATGACAGGGTCCAAAGTGAGAAACGGGAATGGGGGGAGCAAAGACCCAGAATGCCCACAGTGTCTGCCCGATGCCGCCTCAGAGGCCGGCCCCCAGGCTGGCGCTGGGTGGGCTCCGGCACTCGCATGCGACTGAACTCATCCCAGGAACTCCTTGTTCGCCGGGACTGATGGTTTGCTTTTGTTCCCCGCGTGGTGTGTGGGGGAAACGCGGGTGGGGTTGCTGGACGCCTGGGCCCACGCAGGGCACGACCCGGCCTGTCCTGGTCACGTTTGTGCTGGCGGATCGGTTCCCCTCGGACCCCGGACCCCAGCGCCCACAGCGCCCGGAAACGTGTTGCAAGTATTTGGACCCGCGGAGTGAGACTGGGCTGCAGAGAAGAAAACGGAAACCCAGACTGTCCGTCAATGACTTACCCAGAGTCACACACAGGGACGGGCCGTGCTGTGAGCGTGTCCATGCTGTGAACGAACCGGGTCGTCCATGACCCACAGTCCACGTGGCCCCACCGACTCCACTTCCTAACCAAACAGCATAGCAAGCCCACGGCCTTGTTCTCCTCCTGGGAAGCTCTAAGCCTCTCCATTTGCCTTTTTTTTTTTTTTTTTTAATATGTTTGTATTGATTCCAGAGAGGAAGGGAAACATCCATGGTGAGAGAGCATCATGGATTGGCTGCCTTCTGCACAGCCCCTCATGGGGGTTGGGAGCCCAGAACCTGGGCATGCGCCCTTGGCTGGAATCGGACCCAGGACCCCTTCCGTCTGCAGACTGACGCTCTACCCACTGGGCCACACCAGCCAGGCCCTCTCCATGTGTCTTTTCAGGGTGACTTGAACTGTACCTGACATTTCCACTGGCGTCTCCACAGCTATGGCCCGGCCCCAGGCGTCTGCCGTGTCACCGGCCCCTCGGAGGCCCTTTTCTCATGGGCACGTGTGCAGGGTGCAGAGCGGCCTGGCTCCCTCGGAGTGCCCATGAGTGAGGCCGCCCAGGCCCCTCTTCCCTGAGCTGCCTCTCCACCCTTTCCAGGAAAAGCAGTTTGGACTACCATGGCTTTGGCTTGGTCTCTGTCCAGAAGGGACTTTCTTCCTTCCAGTAAGAGGTTTATTATAGTCCTGTGTTTTTTTAATCGGCTTTAAAAATACGTCTGAGAGACTTAGGAATTTGATGGCGATCGTTTCGTGGTTGTAAGCATTTAGGAATTATTTTCTGTTGTTTCAATGATGAGATCAAATCCCTTGAAAAGTGTGCAGTGTGTGTACATATCGCTGATGGGGGGAAAAGATCGCACACGTATAGAAGCTTGGCCATAATCACTAACACCCTTAATTACAGGTCAGCAGAGGTGATAGGAAACAATCAAAGAAAGCGTGTCCTTTTCGAGACTAAATTAGGATGATGAGGGAACGAGTGCCCGGAGCCACAGCCCGGTCCCGCCCTCCTCGAGGCCATGATGGTGGCCAGGAAACTATTGTCCTTTCCCTGTGGGACCCGCCTCCGAGGTCAGCCGGCTCCGCGGATCTGAGCCGGTTCTCTCATCCCCGCCCAGGACACGCCGGTTTCCAATCAGGACCAGGATGCCGGGACCCGCTCCCGCCTCCCGCTGCCTTCGAACCTCAGCACACGCCGCTCCTTGGGGTCCCCCTCGGACCACACCCCCGCCCCCCTTTCTCTGGTTCCCCGGGAGAGGTGTGTCCGAGGCTGGATGGTCATTGTTCGGTGTCTGAGTGGAAAAGTCAAACCTGAACGTGTCTGCCTTCGGTCAACGCGCCTTTTCAGCGCGCCATCGTAACACGTGTCATTTCAAGAATTAAATTCAGCCGAGACCGGCTTGGCTCAGTGGATAGAGCGTCGGCCTGCAGACTGAAAGGTCCCGGGTTCGATTCCGATCAAGGGCATGTACCTTGGTTGCGGGCACATCCCCAGTAGGGGGTGTGCAAGAGGCAGCTGGTCGATGTTTCTCTCTCATCGACATTTTTAACTCTCTGTTCCTCTCAATTCTTTTCTGTGTAAAATCAATAAAATATATTTTTTTTAAAAAAAAAGAATTAAATTCTTTCCCGTCAAGTTCCAGGGTCCGGTGCCCTGGCCTTTAAGATGCTACGCTCCCGCTGAGGATCAGCAGGAACTGGTTAATTTACAGGCACGTCTTGGCAGCTGATTGATGTTTCTCTCCCATCGATGTTTCTAGCTCTCTCTCCCTCTCCCTTCCTCTCTGTAAAAAAAAAAAATCAATAAAATATATTAAAAAATAAAAATAAAACATGTTGGTCAGCTTGCTGCAGGCCAGAGGGGAGAGAGCAAGCCGTGATGTAGCTTGCCTCTATTTGGGGGCTTGTGGGTTAAAGGTCAGCTAGGTCATGTCTGTCCACTTCCAACCAGCTCCAGATCACGTGTTTGCATGAAATGTCGACCTGCAATGTAAGTTTCTATTTGCACTCACCACAGGTTAGAATCCTCTACAAAAGCTCTTTTTCTCCTCCTCATGATTATCATAATTCAATCCATAGAGAAGGAACTGGGTGGGAATATATTACCACTTCAATTCGGCTCAAAATAACCTAATACCATTATTTCCCACTCCCCGCGGGCTGGGGCCGCGGCCCGTGCAGCCTGTGTGGACACAGGGGACACGGAGCTCACGCTGTGCGGTCACCTTGCCGGAGTCGGAAACTCCCATTTGTCTCCAGAGTCAGCACCACCCAACCCCTGCTCTGCCAAAGCCCAGGAGGCTCCCGCAGCACCAGAACCTCTGCCTCCAAGGCTCCGAGGGAAAGAGCCCAACGCCGGGGTGCTGTCCGCTCATGGACCAGCAACTGATCAGAAAGGAAACTTTTAAAGTATCAGTGGGTTAGCCCACAGGCCACAGGCGGAATCCTTTGGCCTGGCCCTGTCTGGGATGAGTGAATCCAATGTCTGACCCAGCCCTGGCCGGTGTGGCTCAGTGGATAGAGCGTCGGCTTGCGGACTGAGAGGTCCCAGGTTCGATTCCGGTCAAGGGCATGTACCTTGGTTGCGGGCACATCCCCAATAGGGTGTGTGTGCAGGAGGCAGCTTATCGGTTTCTCTCTCATCGATGTTTCTAACTCTCTATCCCTCTCCCTTCCTCTCTGTAAAAAAAATCAATAAAATATGTATTTAAAAAAATAATATAGATTAATTAATTAATTAAATGTCTGACCCAGCAGAGCAGGCTGAGTTAAGCTGACACGTCTGTACGGCCCACACACGATGTGATAAATACCCACAAGGCTCTGGGTCAGCCCGTCGCCGCGGACAGCACCCGCAGAGCCGAGGTGAGGAGGTGATTGTGGCTCTTGCCTTCGGTGACTCCTCTGCCTGCTGCTGCTGGGACCCGCTGGCTGACGCCTGCACTCCTTCCCCGAGTTCCCACCTCGGGGCCACGTGAGCTCCATGGCCCGCCGGCGGGAAGTGTGTGCTACCAGCTCCTGGGCTTGTTTTTTTTTTTTTTTTTTTTTTTTTTTTTTGAAGGGGGCGGAGGTGGGGGTGGGAAGAGGAACTAAATCTGTCGGAAAGGACTGTCTGACCTTATCGCCGTGTCTGTCAGATCTGTGACGTCACAGGAAACCGGTGTAGGACGAGGCCCGTGGCCGCCTCGGGCCCGGCTGTCCCACGCGCTGGACGCAAGCAGCGAGGCTGCCCTCCCGCCCCCAGCCTCTCCCGCTGCTGACACTTTTAAGGGGCAAACGAGGAGGGAAGAGCCTCAGCGAGGCCGCAGCCCAGAGGGTCCGGTCCAGCTGGAGACATAGAGTAGCTGCGACGCTTCTCCCCGAAGCCGGCTTCTCCCGGTGCGGCCTTCACAGTCTCTGCGCTTTATGAACAGAACGGGCGTCACAGAGAGAGACACACCAAGACGCCGCCGCGTTCCCTGGTGGCCGGGCCGTGCGGAGGGTCCTCTGGGCTCACCGTCAGGGCTTCCCGGACACCGGGAGCCGGAGAAGCTGGATGGGAGGCACCGGCCAGGCGGGGTCCAGCACAAACCCACAGAGACACTTCGGGACATTCGTAACGCAAGCCCAGATCACAGAAGCCAAAGGACGTGTGAATGGCATAAAACTTTTATTATTTAGTAGCAGTGTGTCCACCTACACTTCAAAATAGAACAGAGCGTCTTTGGGAAAGTAAAACTATTCATAACAAAATACATGTCGAACGATTTTTCATTATTGCAGTAGAATTACTTTGCTATATACTTTCTCTATAATATACATCCTCTTCTCGGTTCACCTACGTATGCACATGTGTATAAATAATGTTTAAGACGTACACATGTGGATACGTATGACGAGTGCGCGCGCACACACACGCCTGGGAGAGTTACAGCAGTCACTGTTACAATCATTTTCGTAGCTGCACACGAGTTAGTGTTCACAGAACCAGAGTGTCCATATGGCTCCCTGCCCCTCCTCCAGGGTCACCTGGATGGTGGCCCATGATCCCTTTGTAAAAAAATACTACCCCTGTACATTTCACCAATCTCTCTTTCTTTTTTTTTTTTTTTACAATAACTCATAATAAAATAGTTCACTATTTCGGCTTTAGAAAAAGTATACAATTTGTGATCCCTAAAAACATACCCTTCTCTTTATTTTAAATCAACTTAGTGCAATGATTTGGTACTGTCGTTCTTGGAGGTTAACTAGCCCACCTGAGTCAAACGTTCATTCAAACACCAGGTAAAGTTTAAGACGTAAAACAAACAGGAGGCTCCGCTGAAGCGTGGGTGAGGGTCTCGAGGCCCCTCCTAATAAATACACAAAAATAACCCGGCGGGCGAGGCCTGGAGAAGCGCACCCTCTGAGGGGGTCCCCGGGGGGTCCTCACAGGCCCCTGCACGCCCAGGGCTCCCCTCTGACACACGAGGACCGCCTAGCAGCATCCCTTCCCTGTCCTCCTCCTGGCATGGACACGGGCGCCTGAGCACGGGCGAGCCCAGGCCAGCCTGCCTCGCCCACAGCGGGCCGCCCTGCTGGCCCGGGAGCCGGGGGCCCGGGAGCCCGGGAGCCCGGAGCCCTTCCCCGAGGAGCCCGCTCCGAGCAACACCCGGCGAGCCGGCCGTCCGTGAGGCTCAGGGTCCGAAAGCCCGAGGTGCGATGCTGAGCCGCTCAGCAACCAAAACGGAGGGAAAGCGAGGCCGGGGGCCGGGCCGAGGCAGCCACGCTCTTGGGAGAGAGACCTGGGCAGCGCTGGGCCGTGGACCCCCTTCCTCGACGGAAGGACCTCTGGGCAGGGACACGTCCCTCTCCGAACACCCTCCCCAGGCTCCCATCCCGAGGGGCTGCGGCCAGCACACCGCACACCACATACTGCACAGATTTCAAAATACAAACGTGTGTTTTTGGTAGCAAAGAGCAAGAAAACCTAAGTCAAAATATAGTCTAACTTTTCCATCATTGTATATATTTATAAATTTATCAAAATAGGCTTTTGACGTTCATAATACATACATCATGACACTGTACAGACACACGCAGTAAGAAAAGGATCCCGCGGGGCGTTAAAAACCCTTGGGGCGGCCGGCCCGCGTTAAAGCGTCCTGAGCGGCGTGGCAGCCTGCCTGGGCCGCGGGGCCGGCCGGTCCCTGAAGGCCGCTCTACGGAGGGGGACGCGGAGGTATCCGGTGCCGCAGCCGGTGCTGGCCCTGGTCCCGGTGCAGAGGTGGCGCTAAGAGCAGCGAGCGGTCCCGACGGCGGCCTCAGTAATGGACGTACTCAGACTGGAGGGACTGCGCGGGAGAGACACAGGAGGTAATGCCGTCAGAGCCGCCAGCTCCTCACACAGCTCCCGCCGGCCTGCCTGCCTGCCTTCCATCCTTCCTTCCTCCTTCCTTCCTCCTTCCTGCCTTCCCCCGCGGCACCGGGAGATGCAGGAGGGGGCAGATGAGAGACGCGAAGCATCGGCTAAGGAGGTGGTGCTATTCCCAAAGTGGCGGCAAGAAAGGTTTGATGTTGAAAGGTTTGCCAACGGCCCCAGCTGGGGGGCTCGGTTGTCTGAACACCAAAAGGCTGCAGGTTCAATTCCCGGCCAGGGCGCGCGCCTCGATGGCAGGCTGGATCCCTGGCTGGCTGCGAAAGGGAGGCAGCTTATCTCTTTCTCAAAGAAAATCAGTACACGTATACTTAGAGGAGGATTACAAAGCCCACTAACTGCCCTGGCCAGTGTGGCTCAGTGGATAGAGCGTCGGCCTGTGAACTGAAAGGTCCCGGGGTTCAATTCCGGTCAGGGACACAGGCCTGTGTTGCAGGTTCGATCCCCATTGTGGGTCGTACAGGAGGCAGCTGATTCTCGATTCTCTCTCATCGTTCATGTTTCCATCTCCCTCTCCCTTCCTCTATGAAACCAATAAAAATTATATTTTTTAAAACTCACTAATTTATTAGTAGTGATGACAAATTAAATATTATTTGAAAATTGGTAGGTAGGGCTCAACTCGCTTCCATGCGCTTGTGCAATAATATTGGATTTTCCTCAGCAATATTAAAGGACACCTGTCACTAAACTGGGGGGTTATTAGAATAGACTTTACAAATACGTATAATTTTGAATGCAACGCAACACACAGCGAATGAACGTTCATGCTTCTGATGCAGCAGAATGGGCAGTCCCTTAACTGAATTCCTTGAGGATGGGGACTGTAGCGCAAACACCTTACAAAGCCTTTCCTTTTAGGGGGACACAAAGCACAGCTCTGATCTCTGACCTTCCCTCCCCAGAGCATTTGTGCGGAAGAGCCAGGCAGCCCCCACGAAACGGTGGGAAGTTTCTAAAAAAGCAAACACCGCACGTTCCTCCCTGATCACGTCCAATACTAACGCCCAAGAGGAGTGCGCGGGGAGCGGAGTCAGAGGAAGGCTCTGGTCCTAACGTCCCCCAGGAAAAGACGGGGGAGAACCCAGCCGCTGGACAGGACGTCCGGGCAGCCAGTGGCAGTGAGACACGGCAGCCCAAACCAGTGCAAACATTCGCCAGACCCCTGCCCAGCCCTCCTCCCTCCACACCCCGGGACAAACCCTCCCACTTCCACGCTTGGAACCGGGTTTAGGGGTTTGCTCGCGTGCCCGCCCTCCTCCCCGAGAACCTTGGCCCAGCCTGTCCGCAGCGTTTTGTGACTCAGTCGGGTCCGTGCTGAGGCCGGTCCGTTCTGTTGACGGTAACAGGGCATCCGTCCACTTTGCAAATAATTTACTGAAAGATTCAGACCCTCTCTGTGCACCTTTAAGTCCGCCCCACAGCGCTCACCGAGGAGTCTCCACCAGCCCCGTGAGCCCTCGGGGGCCACCACCACGCAGACGGAGAGCGAGAGACCACGGCGTCCGCGTTTCATGAGAACAAACTGAGGGTGAGGCAGTGCTGGGCACCAGTGGGAGATTAGGCGGGGGGCGGGGGAGTGAGGGGGAGCAGGGACAGTCTGTGGGGGTTAGGGGTTGGGGGACTCGAGGCTGCAAGTTTCAAAGACGAGGTGAAAGGTTAAGAGCGCCCCTAGAGCCCTAGCCAGTTTGGCTCAATGGATAGAGCGTCGGCCTGCAGACTGAAGGGTCCCAGGTTCGATTCCAGCCAAGGGCACATGCTTGGGCTGCAGGCTTGATCCCCGTTGTGGGGGCATGCAGGAGGCAGCCAATCAATGATTCTCTCATCATTAATGTTTCTATCTTTCTCTCCCTTTCTCTCCCTCTCTAAAATCAATAAAAATATATTTTAAAAATAAATAAATGTACATAAATTTAAAAAATAAAAAAAAAGCACCCCTAGAAAGGAGGACAAGGGCTTGGCACGCCTCCCCACAGGATGTGGTTTATGCCGAGGCTTCAGAGCAGGAGGGCATCGGGCACTGTCTCACACGCCTGCACACACAGCGTGGCAAGGAGGGTGAATGTTAACAGGACGCCCCATGGGACTGATTCCCAGCTCGCTTTCGGGACTGTTCTAAAACACGTTTTCTTTATAAAACACCCAGGACTCAGCATTCTGACTCAAGTTTTCATTATGCTTGGCCCATTGTTTTTAGCTTTGCCATAAGAAGTAATACCTAATGCATCTCAAGTACTAAAAAAAAGGGGAGGGGGAGAGCAATGCAAGGGAAGAGTGGGAAACTGAGCCTAAATATTACTTTACAAGAAATATCTATATAATCAAGCACTTATTTCTATCACAAGAGATTTTAATTACTACCCAAATAAAACATTCGATTTCTTGGGACCGGTACGTTCCAGCGAGTTATACTGGGTTCAGACCAGATAAGCTTATCGTGAAGATAAGAAATGCAAACCATAAAATTAATATCGCAGCCATAATTAACCTGGAAAGTGAGCCTAAAGTTACCTTAAGGGTGCAGCCCCCAAATAAATGATGTCAAAACAAAAGAGGTCGTATTCCCCGAGAGCCGTTAGGTTTGACAAGAAACAAGTGTTAGGTGAGGAGAGGAGACTCTGTTCTCCCCGGAACCAGCTCGAGCCGGTGCTGGCAGGTGTGGGTAGTGCTTTAGAGTTAGCTGTTCGGGTGTTTCCTTTTTAATCAGCCCGTTACCTAATCGCGGTGGGAAAACCGCTGATGATCGGAGCTATAAATACGGGCAGGCCTTTTATCCACGAGCCCACGCGGCTCGGAGACAGAGAGCGGGGAGGAATCTGAAAGATCACCGTCTTTGCCAGCAAACGAATGAGGCCGATCTTCATATTCCAACATCCTGGCCCCCAGGACCCCGGGCCCGGCTGTCAGTCTCCTACTGGGTCCGAGCCCCGCTCACCGTCCCCTCGTGCTTTTCCCACGCTCCCTCCCCGCCTCCCTCCCCAAGTCCCTCAGGAGGAAAGCGCAGCTCCTCGCTGCCTCGGTGTGAGTTCTCAGAGGACAGGCCTTACGGAGGGTCTGTCTATGGCCCAGACCGTGGACGGGGGCGAAGGCCCAGGGCTGCGGGGAGACGCCATGGCACGGCGAGGCCTGGGGTCCGGTGAGGACACGTGGGGAGCCTCTCAGCGAGAAGAGCTGGAATGTTCAACACAGAGCGTTCGGGGTGACAGAATGCTTCCCGCGCCCACGCCCGTCACCGCCCCAGCTCCCCGCGGCAAACACGCGGGTGTCAGGGCCGCTTCTCCCTACAAGCGGGTCCCTGAGCGCCCCCTCGCCCCTCGCCCGGGCAGCCCGAGCCCCGGGACCAGCCGAGGGGCCAGAGAAACAGAGCGGCTGCCCGGCTGTCGACCTGTGAACCAGGAGGTCACGGTTCGATGCCAGCTCAGGGCTCCATCCCCAGCATGAAGCGTGCAGGAGGCAGCCGATCCGTGGTTCCCTCTCATCATCGATGTTTCTCTCCTCTCCCTCCCGCTCTGAGATCAACAGGAATGTTTCTTTTTTAAAAAGAAAGGAAAGAGCCGCAGTGGGCCCACAGGGAACGCACAGCCCCTGCTCTGCCTCATGAAACGGGGTTTCCTCGGGCACAGACTGCCTGCCCGCGCCGCAGGGGGCAGCCCCCCAGGATGGGGAAGGCAGAGGCGGAGGACAGGGCAGCGACCGAGGCCCAGGGCAGCCTCCCGGGGGCTGGGAGGGAAGACGGACCGGCCGGCAGCTCCACTCAGACACGCGTTTTCTTTACAAGAAAACGACAGCGGTGAGGGGAGAGGAGGGAGCGAGCCGCCACCGCCCACACAGGCCCTGACTTTAAATGTAATTATTGGGAAATTACCCTCTTCGGGCCAGAGGGGGAGGAGGAGGAGGAGAAGGAAAATAAGAAAATAGCGGCTGAAGCCACGACGAGGTTATGTAAGCGGGAGGCCAGGCACCCACAGGCCTGAGCATTCCCCCGGCCACGGGACCCGAGCAGGCGCTGCCTCTGTCCAACCAGGAGGCCGGGTACCCACTGCCCACCTCAGCCGTGACCCTGGCAGGTGCTCCAGGACCCCGTACTACATCTCACAGGGCCTGCCTCCACCAGCTGGTGCAAGCACAGGCGGACTCCCCTCCTGGCGCAGGATCTGACCTCGAACCCAGCTGTGCACACGCAAACACATGACCGCTCCCACCAGCCGCCGCGGGGACTTAGGCTTTGCCGACACGCATGCACCCACAGGAGAGTGGGATTCGGGTCACGGGAAGAGGGGTGGGGAGGGGGAGCTGGCAACTGCCTGGGCCCTGATCGCCACGGGAATCCAGCGGGAGCGTCAAACCCGCCCCGGGAACGGTCGGGGGATATGCTGCAGAAGGACGTGTGGACTTCAATCAACACACGCACATGCACGTACACGTTACACACATGTGCACACACATTCACACTGTATCTCCATGTTACAAAAATGGTTTCTGATCTGCCACCTGAGGGCATGGGTCCCACCACTGTCGCCCACGGGGCTGCCGCCCCACGTGGCACCAGCCCCACCCTCCTCGCCTGCGGAGCCAGCTCTCCCGGACAACACGGTCAACATGGACAACAAGGATAACACGGACAACACGGACAACATGGACAACGTGGACAACACGGGAAGGACGCAGGTGCGAGGGGGCCGGCAGTCAGTGTGGCCGCTGACATGGCCCACGTGCCCCGCCCTGCGTGAGCTCGTTTTCCTCCTTTCCTGTCCCCGCTCCCCAAATCGGAGCTCACTCCCGGACACCCGCCCTCCGTTCCCGTGGAGACAATCAAAATGCCCGGCCCGCGAGCTCAGTGGCGGAGCGCCCTCCCATGCCCCCGGATCCCCAGCTCGATGGTCCCGATTACAGAGCCTGCGGGAAAGGTGTGGGGGAGCATCCACCCAGCCTGGGGGGCCCAGCTCAGTCTGCCCGACCCTGACATCCTGCTCCTGCTGCACCCGGGGCCCAGGAGCCTCCCTACGCTCACCTCCCGGCCGGGTTCACGCTGGGCAGGGCCCGGCGGAGGGGCCCATCTGCCCACCCGTCTGCCCACCCGTCAGCACACCTGTCTGCACACCTGTGTCCACCTGTCTGCCCGCCCGTCTGCATGCCCATCTGCCCGCCCGTCTGCATGCTGTCTGCACTCCCATCTGCCCGCCCGTCTGCCCCCGTCTGCGTGGGACCCTCGGGCTCGGGGCAGGCCGGCGATCAGAAAGCCCAGCCGAGCGCTGACTGAGGTCGGCCGGGGAGGAGGACAAAGAGGGCGGAGGAGCCGCTGGAAGCTGGCGTTTACTTGGGAGCCGGCGGTGGACGGGAGGCGCCACGTCCGGGCACAGAGGGCTCAGAAGGCCTCCTTGGTGCTGTTGAACTTCTTGGGGGGCAGCCGGGGCGAGGAGGGCGAGGAGGGCGAGGAGGCCGAGGGCGGCGGGGCCCCGCAGCTGCGCTCGGGGGCCTGAGGGCCGAGCGGCGGCGTCTGTGTACTTACGGGGATGGACCGGCTCAGGAAGCGGGCCGACGAGGAGGACAGGCCAGTGCAGGAGGCCCGGGAGCCGGGGGCGGCGGGGCGGGGGCCCGGCTCCTCCGTCTTGGCGCTGGGGGGGCCCCGCGGGCTGCCCGGGGGGCTGCGGCCGCACTGGTTGTTGTTGAGCTCAGGGTAGGTCCGGGGGGGCGCCGGAGAGCTGCCGTTGAGGTTGGCGAAGGGGCTGGCGGCGTAGCCCACCTTGCAGGGCGAGGCCCGCCTGCCGTCGGGGTCCTCGGAGGACACGCTCAGGTTCCCCAGCGAGCTGGCCAGCCGCGAATTCACCGAGAAGCTGGGGAGACAGGAGCAGACCTGCTACCGGGGCCGTCCCCGCAGACACAGCGCGGCCGGGCCCGCGGGGCGCTGCGGGGACAGAGGGCAGATGGCGGTGCTCTTGGACCTGAGATCGGGGTGCTATCGGACGTGAGATGAGGGTGCTACTGGTCCTGAGATTGGGGTGTCATAGGATTCCAGATCAGGGTGCTATGGGTCCTGAGATCAGGGTGCCAGTGGACTCAAGATCAGGTGCTATCGGACGTGAGATTGGGGTGCTGTAGAGTGTGAGATCGGGGCTCTATGGCTGCTGAGGAGGAAGTAAGTGAACTCTAAGCAGAGTGAGAAGCGTGAGCGTGAACTCATATGAGTTTGGTTGCACGGCTCTGTGAGCCGTCCGGGCCATGGCGGGAGACGTGACCCCCGGCGTGTCCTCAGACACATTCAGCGCCGCCTCCAGACCAGGCAACTGCGGGGTGGACGCCGCACGCCATGCCCTCTGTCCGCGCCTCGTCCCCACAGTGCAGGACGGGCCGGACGGAGGGCAGAGCCTTTGGGTTTCTCCTCTCCCAATCCTCTCCCCCAGCCAAGGGCAGCCAAACGCCTGCTGCGGCCTGCACCCAGCACCCAGCACCCGGCACCCAGCACCCTGCACCCATCACCCGGAGGGGGAGTCACCTTCTCAGACTGGCGCCCGAGGCCAGGGAGCCCCTGGCAATGCGCTTGACCGTGGCGGACGGGGGGGAGGCCACTTTGCAGATCTTCAGCGTGGACGCGGAGCCCTGTGCGGAGGAGGCCAATCTGGGGAGGAAGGAGGCGGAGCGTCCGCGGACATCAGCCTCGGCCACGGAGGTCAGCGCGCGAGCGTGTCAGATCCGGGCGTGGGCGTGCCGGGCGCTCTCCGGCCTCGGTGCTCAGCCCCCTCTGCGAGTGGCCGTGCTGGGGTGCAGCCGGGACCCCACCCTGCTCTTCTCCTCCCGCCTACCTGGGTCCTCTCCCCTCCCCCGCCATGCGGCCCACGGGTCCTGGCACGCTTCATGTGTCCTCTCCTCCCCGCCCCGGCCGGGGCGAGGCCACGGCTGTGCCTTCTCCCACCTGCCAGTCCCGTCTCTGCCTCTGACCCCCATGACTGGCGGCAAACTCGTTAGTCCACAGAGCCAAACGGCCTGGCACGGCCCGAGAGCACTCAGGGGGACCTTTCCCCAGAAAAACACGAACATGTCCTCTCCACGTGGAGGGCAGAGGAGGGAAAACACGGCGGGGGGAAAAAAGGAGGCAACAACACGTGCAAACACCGGGAGGGAGAAGAGCGGAATCGCTATCCCTTCGCAGCAAGACCGGGCGCCAGGTCCAAAGGGCCATGGCAGCCGATGGCCTGTCAGACCCCGTGCTGGGGCCCCGTGGCCGCTCAGGGAGGAGGGGCTGAGGCAGTGACTCGCAGTGAGCAGCTCATCCTCGCCCGGTGGCAGGGGCGGGGAACGGCTGGCCCATGGGCCGTGTGAGGCCGAGAAACCCCGTGGCCCGGCCCTGCCCAGCACTGGGCCGAGTGAAACGTCCGGCCGACCCCAGCAGCAGGTTCTTAAGCGGATACGGCTGTGGCCCCGAGTGACGTCACAGACGCCCACGGGCCAGGCCCGGGCGCCGTCAGAGGCGGGTGATGGAGGGGGAGCTCGGAGCCCGGGGCTCCGGCTGCCGTACCTGACAGGCTGGGACACCACTGCCCTCGGGGGCCCCTTCAGGTCCTCCAACCTGCAAAGAGCAGAGACAGGCGCTCAGGTCCCGCTCCCGCCCAGCTGGGGCCGAGGCGTCAAACGGGCCGCGGGGAGGCCTGGGGACCGGGCACCAGTCCCTTCACCGGACAGGCTGTCCCGAGCCGGCGGGAAGGGACTGCGGTCTCTCTGTTTCATTCTGAATCCCACTTGGAGGAATAATAAAAAATAAAAAAAAAAGGTCTTTGCCCTTGTTTCGTTCGCTTTGTTAATCCTCACCCATAGATATTTTTCAACTGAATTTAAATGGAGACGGAGGGAGGGAGGGAAACATCAATGTGAGAGCAACACCATCGATCGACTGCCTCCCGCAGGTGCCTAGCCCCCGGGTGGATGACTGGGAACCGAACCCAAGGCCCTTCGGTGCCCAGGCCGACGCTCTAACCCCTGAACACACTGGCCAGGGTGCAGCCAGTCCATGATTCTCTCTCATCGTTGATGTGTCTCTCTCTCCCTCCCTCTCCCTGCCCCTCTGACATCAATAAAAACCGATTTAAAGAAAAGGGGGGGGGGGAGTAGGGTCCTGTCCGCCTGTGGAACAGCACGAGGGCCCCGGGGTCGCGTCTCACCGGAAGGCGCAGGGCGGCGAGGAGCGCGGCTGGCGCTGGCTCTTTAAGGCACGTAGTTTGTCTCCCTGGGTGATGCTGTTCTTCATCTCCACGTCCTCATCCTCTTCCGGGTTATTCTGGGGGAACAGCATAAAGGTCACGGTGAGGCGCTGGCGTCGGCAGACGGCTCACTGGGCGGCAGGTCACCCCTGCGTGCAGGGGATTTCACACAGGGGAGCGGCACTGTGAACTCAGCCCTGCGCGTGTGCATGGAGAGCGTGCAGTACAGCACAGGAGACAGTCGATGGCATGTGGCAGGGCAGTGCGTGCCCCAAATCTGTGCGCTTTTACTCGCAAGGCTCTGCGCGTGGCACCCCGTCTTGCTTTTGGGGGGGGAGGACCCCACGCCTGAGACCCTGGTCCCCCGGCCGCTCAGAGAAGGAAGAAGCCGCACATGCAGGAGGGGAGTCCCGGGGGGACCCCCACCCCCGGGGAGACTCACCTCTCCGAGCCGCTCCAGGTTCTGGGTTTGGGATATGTTTCCATGGATGGACAGGTCATCCAAGCTCGAAAGAATTTTATTAATACTCTCCTCGCTGGACGGTCTGCTTTTCAACTTGGATCGAAAGATGTCTCCTTGGACCCACAGCGACGCTTGCTTTCTGTGGAGAGGAGAGGAGAGCACACCGTTCGTCTCAGAAGCGCGACGTTGTGTCAATAGAGACGGCAGGTACACGTTTACGAAGCAGGACGGAGCGACGGCGAGGTCTTAAAGGAAAGAAAACTTTCTGAAGCCTCAGCAGTTAAACCCTACACACAACACAAACGGCCGGCTTCTGACCCGGGTCCCGGGCGCCACGGGGTGGACTGCTAAGGTCCTCAGATGCTCAGGACAGATTCCACCACAGAAGACTGTGAACCTCCTGTTGTTGTTTTTTTAAATATATATATATATATATATATATATATATATATATATATATATATATATTTCAATTTATTTCAGAGAGGCAGGGAGAGGCAGGGAGAGAGAAACATCCATGATGAGGGAGAATCGTGAATCAACTGCAGCCTGCACGCCCCCTCTGGGGATGGAGCCGGCAACCCCCCGGCCTGTGCCGAGACCGGGCATCAAACCGTGACCTCCTGGTTCCTAGGCCCCCGCTCAGCCCCTGAGCCACCCGGCCGGGCTGACATCTGCCTTCTGAATCCCCCTGTTCTTGGTGTGGCCAGCTGCTTTGTCTCAGCTTTGAATTTTGAGCACGGAGTTAGTTCACCGTGGGCTGCTTCCGTCCGGAGCTGGCCTCCCTCTGCATTCCTGCCGAGGCCTGCCCGCTGCCTCCCTGCGACCTCATCACCCTTCCCGCCCGGACGCGCCTCCCAGCACCACCCGCCTTCCCCGTGTCCACCCAAAGCACAGGGGTCGTGGCGTCTGTCCTCAGCCCAGGCCTGTTGCGCCGCGGCCTCAGCCATTGCCCAGGGCGGCTGCAGGGACAGGGGGCGCTCCTGGGCTCCAGCATCGGGCGAAGGGCCCTCTCACCGGGCGTCCGAGGACAGGGTATGCGGCACCCGTGGCCCGGGAGACGGGAGCGGACGGCCACGCAGGGAGGACTGCCCGCGCTGGGTGCTGCGGACGCTCTGTCGCCTGGCGTTTGGAAAGGGTGCGGAGGGAGCAGGAGAGGGGCCGGTTCTGCACACCAAGAACAGGTAGCTGGGCCCTGACCGCTGTGACTCAGTGGATAGAGCGTCGGCCTGCGGACTGAAGGGTCCCGGGTCCGATTTCGGTCAAGGACATGTACCTTGGTTGCAGGCACATCCCCAGCAAGGGGGCGTGCAGGAGGCAGCTGATCAATGTTTCTAATCATTAATGTTTGTATCTCTCTCTCACCCTTCCTCTCTGAAATCAAGAAAAATATATAAAAGGAAAAGAAAAGAAATTCTGCCCTAACTGGCGTGGCTCGCTGATCCATGTTTCTCTCCCATCGATGTTTCCAGCTCTCTATCCCTCTCCCCTCCTCTCTGTAAAAAATCAATGAAACAGTTTTTATTTTATTTTTTTTAAAGCACATGTGGCTAGAAAGGGAAGGGATGATTTGGGACATCCCCCCGAAGGGTCAACTGGCTGAACCTAACCTCGGGGTAGCAGCCCTCCACCCCGGCCCTCCGTCCTGCTCTCACACCAAACACCCACTTCACCACGAAACCAAGGGTCATTATTCCGCCTCTAACCCTTCACACAGGGAACAAAACAAAAGCCCCACGTCCCACAGTAGCCGGGGTGAGATTTTCAAGATCAATTCCCGACGCCACCATTGCCGAGAACTCTCCTCATCCGCCTCGTTCTTCAGACCCGGCCCCGTGCGCCTGCTCCGCCGGGGGCTTCGGCGCCAGGGGCTGCCCGTGAACGGACGGGGTGAGTGAGCTCCGAAAATCAAGGAGCTTCTGACCCAGGTCCCGGTCGCCACGGGGTGGACTGCTAAGGTCCTCAGATGCCTGTCGCACCAGCCCCGTCTCAAACCCGCGCATGTGCCTGTGATTCTGACGAACACACACACTGTCGAGCGTCATTCTAACCAGACTCCAAGAGTTCAGATCCTACTTGTTGCTATTTTAGGAACAGCAAGTTCTGGAACCTTTTACACAGATCATTTTAAAAACTTGGAACCCACTTTCCTTGGCCCAATGCCCGTCCCTCTCTCTCTCTCTCTCTCTCTCTCTCTCTCTCTCTCTCTCTCTCTCTCTCACGCTGAGCGCGCACAGGAGTCCATCACGGTTAAGCACTCCAGCTCCGGCGTGAACGGCTCCCACATTGTTCCCGTCGCTGAGCAGGGGTCCCTCACCCTGTGCCTGCCGTTTCCTGACCCGGTCACTCCCATGTCACTCTGCTGGCTGACCCGGTCACTCCCATGTCTCTCCGCTGGCTGACCCGGTCACGCCCATGTCACTCCGCTCTGGGTGATGTTCACCAGATGCTGCCAGCACCGCGCCGAGCAGGGCAGCCAGTGCGGAGACGCGGGAGCCCAGACCGACCACACACGGGTCTGTGCATCTGTGCAGAAGCCGGAGCCCCACACCTGCCGACGGGCACACGCTGGGCACCGCCGCGGCTCCCTGGCCGTCTCCCGGCGGGCAGGCGACGGCCAGGCCTCTCTGCACGGACGACACTCGCCACTGAGCCCCACCGGCCAGGGCGCCTCGTCCCGTTCGTGGCAGAGGGCTGGTGGTTTCTGAAATGCCGAGGGGACGCCAGGAAGGGCATGCCCTGCAAGTTAACTCTCTTCCCTGGGGACCGGGGTTTGACCGAGCCAGTGCGTGCGTCTGGGCAGGAGGGGAGGGCTGTGAGTGTTCTCCTAAGTACGACCCTCAGGCCTGGGAACGCTCAGACCAGCCACACGGCAGCCACCTCCTGTCCGTGAGCGGCACCTCAGAGGCCCCGCTGTGCTGTGTGTGTGTGTGCTGTGTGTGTGTGTGCGCTGTGTGTGTGCTCTGTGTGTATGCGCGCGCGTGCTGTGTGCGCTGTTGTGTGTGCTGTGTGTGTGCACATGCTGTGTGTGTGTGTGCTGTGTGTGTGTGTGCTCTGTGTGTATGCGCGCGCGTGCTGTGTGCGCTGTTGTGTGCGCTGTGTGTGTGCACGTGCTGTGTGTGTGTGCGCGTGCGTGCTGTGTGTGTGTGTGTGCGTGCGTGCTGTGTGTGTGTGCTGTGTGTGTGTGCATACTGTATGCGTGTGTGCGCTGTGTGTGCACGTGCTGTGTGTGTGTGCACTGTGTGTGTGCGCTGTGTGTGCTCTGTGTATGTGTGAGCGTGCTGTGTGCGTGTGCTCTGTGTGTGTGTGCGCTGTGTGTGTGCGCATGCGTGCTGTGTGTGCGCTGTGTGTGTGTGCGCTGTGTGTGCTCTGTGTATGTGTGAGCGTGCTGTGTGTGTGTGCTCTGTGTGCGTGTGTGTGTGTGCGCACGCGCATGTGTGGGCACGTGTGCTGTGTGTGCGTGTGTGCGTGTGTGTGTGTGTGTGTGTGTTTTCCCGTTCCGCTCACAGACATGCGAACACAAGGAGAGAAGGAAACGCCGTGCACCAGGTGGGATGACAAACTCACACGGTGGCCGGGCCACCCAGGAGGCGACAGGGAACCGGCCGGCGGCCGAGCCGTGCCCTCACCGGGCTCCGGGGGCCGGGCTCCCTCGGCTGCAGCGCTGGCCCCCGCTGCCCGGCTGCCACATCGGGGGAAGGGGCAGGGGAGCGGGGGCCGCCCGCGGGGACACATACTCCTCCAGGAAGTGCTGCTGGGGCCCGATGATGGAGCCGGGCCGGCATATCCGGATCCAGGAGATGACCTCGGCGTGCGTGAACCGGTAGTGCTTCATGATGTAGCAGCCGATCAGCGTCCCCGTCCTGCCCAGCCCGGCTGCAAGAGAGGGACAGAGCCGCTGCCAACCCGCAGGCACCTGCCCGCGGCCCTTAAACCGCTACCGGCCGTTCCACAGACGAGGGAGGGTGTTTGTGGGGGCCTGGGGCATCTGGAGCAGGGCCACGGACCGGCACCGAGGACCGGCCGGCACCGAGGACCCGCCGACACCGAGGACCCACCGGCACCGAGGACTGGCCGGCACCGAGGACCCGCCGACACCGAGGACCCGCCGGCACCGAGGACTGGCCGGCACCGAGGACCCGCCGACACCGAGGACCGGCCGGCACCGAGGACCCGCCGGCACCGAGGACCGGCCGGCACCGAGGACCCGCCGGCACCGAGGACCGGCCGGCACCAAGGACCGGCCGACACCGACAGGCTGGCCAGAGGGGCGTGTGGCCTCGGCCCCCGGGGGCTCCTCCTCAGACGAAGCACAGGAGACAGCGGTCCTGGCCTCTGCAGAGGGCTGACGAGGCCGGTGGGTGCCCAGAGCCCCTCCACTGGCCTCTGTGGGGCACGAGAGCCCCCGCCCCCTCCCCGGGAGAGGGGTCTTCGCCACACACACAGCCCCCAAGAAACAGGTGCAGAAGTGGTTCCGATCTCCCTGAAACCTCAAACAGCCTGTGATTAATCTATAAAAAGAACGTCCCCTGTGCTCTTCCCAGGAGGAGCGCTCCGCTCGGTTCTAAGGAACCTGATCGGGGGAGGCGTGCCTGGCCGCAGAGGGCCGGCGCCGCGGGGCGAGCAGCCAGGCCGTCGGTCCACCGCCCGCCGCCGCCCCCTCTCGGGCCAGGCGGCCCCGAACGCCCCGCAGAACAAGCACGTCAAACTCACAGCCCCGGCCTCGGGCCTGGCTTATCTGGCCCCTCAGCCTTGGCGTTGGACAGGCTGGCTCGAGCCTCCGCGATCCCAGGCCAGGACTGCGAGGCCCAGCCCTTGTCCCAACCACTGTTTGCGCTGGAAGATTCCACCAGCCCCTCGCCCTCTCGGGTCACCCAGAAGGCGAACAGGCACGCTGAGCGGTCCTAACAGCCTGCTCCGCTCTGTCAGATGGTTCACGGCTCCCGACGCCTGGGCAGGGCCAGGCCCAGCGGCTTCGGGGGCCTCCCCGCCCGCCGGCCGGACGTCCCCCACCCGCCCGGTGCAGCCCGTGGCGGGAGGCGGGACACGGCGTGCTCTCCCCGGCGGCCATGGCGTCGGTGGGGCATGGAAGCCGATGCTCCCGCCGCCTCCTCGCCGTTCAGTTAAAATGCTCCAGGCGGCTCAGTTCCCAGAACGCCGAGCTGACTTAATTAGGGCGGATGTCAAAATAATTAACGGGCCGCGGCAGACAATGCCGTGGGAGAGGAGCAGGGGCGGTGATTGCTCCGAGGGCGTGATCCCGGGAAGTGCTCCACGCGTGTGCACACGTGGCGGCAAGGGGAAGGCTCAGGCGGCTGTCACCACTGGCAGCGGCCTCCCCGTGCAGACCAGCCTCCCCCCTCCCCACGCAGACCAGGCCTCCCCCCTCCCCGCGCAGACCGGGCCTCCCCCCTCCCCCCGCAGACCGGCCTCCCCCGTCCCCCCGCAGACCGGCCTCCCCCCTCCCCGCGCAGACCGGCCTCCCCCCTCCCCGCACAGACCGGGCCTCCCCCCTCCCCCCGCAGACCGGCCTCCCCCCTCCCCGCGCAGACCGGCCTCCCCTCTCCCCGCGCAGACCGGGCCTCCCCGCGCCGCCCTGCACTGCACGGGTCCCTCTGTGACCGGACGCCACGTCCAGGCTGCCGGCGCTCGCCGGGCCAGAGCTGCGCCCGGTTATTCTAATGCAAAACCCACAGAGCCAACGGGACGCCAGGCCAGCGTCCCCGGGAAGACCGGAGCCCCGGCTTCCGAGGAATGCGAATGCGTGGACGGCGGGCTTTTTCGTGGGCCTGGGCCATCTTTTTATTTACTTTTATTTATTTCAGAGAGAGAGGGAGAGGGAGGGAGAGAGAGAGAGGGAGAGAGGGAGAGAGAAAGGGAGAGAGGGAGAGAGAGGGGGGAGAGAGAGGGAGAGAGGGAGAGAGGGAGGGAGGGAGAGAGAGGGTGAGGGGGAAAGAGAGAGAGAGAGAGGGAGAGAGAGAGGAAGAGAGAGAGGGGGAGAGAGGGAGGTAGAGAGAAGAGGGAGAGAGAGAGAGAGAGGAAGAGAGAGGGAGAGAGAAAGAGAGGAAGAGAGAGGGAGAAAGAGAGGGAGGGAGAGAGAGAGAGGGAGAGAGAGAGGGAGAGAGAGGGAGAGAGAGAGGGAGAGAGAGGGAGAGAAGGGGAGAGACAGAGGGAAAGAGAGGGAGAGAGGGAGAGAGACAGAGGGAGAGAGAGGGAGAGAGGGAGAGAGGGAGAGAGAGGGGGGGAGAGAGAGAGAGAGAGAGAGAGAGAGAGGGAGAGAGGGAGAGAGAGAGAAGAGGGAAACATCGACTTGCTGCTCCACTCGCTGATGTATTCGTTTGCGGGTTCTTGAAGGTGCCCTAGCCCAGATCAAACCCCAGCCTCGGCCTGTCAGGATGGCACATGAACCCCGGGCTGCCTGGCGGGGCGTGCCGGGCCATCTATCACAGAATCGAGGGCGCGGCAGCCAGCTGCGAACGGGCCACACCCGGCACCCGCTCACCTCGGGATGGGGAGAGCAGCGGTCTGCCAGGAGCGGAGGAAAGACACCCCCTTCCCGCTAAGAACCGGAGGGGGGCCTGCCGGGGGGGGCTGCCTGACACAGGAGCCCACCTCCGGGCCCTGCAGGTGCAGCTCCCGCTGCTCTCAGGCTCAGCAAAGCACCTCCACCTCCTCACGTCTCAGCACAGTCTGATCGGTCAGGGCCCTCGCCTGGCTGAGCACTCAGCTCCCAGCGCAGGCGCCGGAGAGAACAGCGCAGCCCCCACGGGACCAGGCCCTGAGCACCCAGCTCCACGGGCCTGGGAACGGCGCCCCCGGTGGCGCCCCCGGTGGCGCCCGGAGGCGCTGCATGAGGGGAGGGGGGCGGCCAGAGCTGCCTCTGCTCTGAAATCAAAGGCACGGCCTTGGAGGCTCCGAGCACGTGTCCTCTCCTGTTGGCAGAGCAACTGACAAGCCGCAGAGAACACGCAGCACGTATGTTCCCTCCGTGTCTGAGACATTTAAAAAGCACGCGTCATGCCCTAGCTGGTGTGGCTCAGTGGACAGAGCGTCGGCCTGCGGACTGAAAGGTCCCAGGTTCGATTCCGGGCAAGAGCATGTACCTTGGTTGGGGGCACGTCCCCAGTGGTGGGGAGGGGGGTGCAGGAGGCAGCTGATCGATGTTTCTCTCTCATCGGTGTTTCTAACTCGCCCTCTCCCTTCCTCTCTGTGAAATAAGCAATAAAAAAATATTAAAAAAATAAAAGTGCCCGGCCAGCCTACAGACGCTGTCCCGGCCCCTCACGGAGGCGCCTGGGACGTGAGGGGACCTGGGCGGCCACACCAGCCCCAGCACCCCACCCGAGCCACGCTTCTCCCGGGAGGGGCTGTGCCAGCAGGGCTGTGCCCCCTCTGCTCAGACGCAGCCGCCTCAGGCGGGCCCGGGGTGCGGGGTGCGGGGTTCGGTGTGTGGGCCGTGGGCAGGCCCGGGGTTCAGTGTGCGGGCCGCAGGCGGGCCTGGGCTGCGGGCGGGCCTGGGATTCGGGGTGCAGGGTTCGGTGTGCGGGCCGCGGGCGGGCCCAGGGTGCGGGGTTCGGTGTGCGGGCCGCGGGCGGGCTGTGGGCGGGCCCGGGGTTCAGTGTGCGGGCCGCGGGCGGGCCCAGGGCGTGGGGCGTGGGGTTCGGTGTGTGGGCCGCGGGCGGGCCCAGGGTGCGGGGTGCGGGGTTCAGTGTGTGGGCCGCAGGCGGGCCTGGGCTGCGGGCGGGCCTGGGATTCGGGGTGCAGGGTTCAGTGTGCGGGCCGCGGGCGGGCCCAGGGCGTGGGGCGTGGGGTTCGGTGTGCGGGCCGCGGGCGGGCCCAGGGCGTGGGGCGTGGGGTTCGGTTTGCGGGCCGCGGGCGGGCCCGGGGTGCAGGGTGCAGGGTTCGGTGGCTGCGGGCGGGCCCAGGCTGCAGGGCGCGGGGTTCGGTGTGCGGGCCTCGGGCGGGCCCAGGGTGCGGGGTTCGGTGTGCGGGCCGCGGGCGGGCCCGGGGCGTGGGGCGCGGGGATCGGTGTGTGGGGCGCGGGGTTCGGTGTGCGGGCCGCGGGCGGGCCCAGGCTGCAGGGTGCGGGGTTCGGTGTGCGGGCCTCGGGCGGGCCCAGGGCGCGGGGTTCGGTGTGCGGGCCGTGGGCGGGCCCAGGCTGCAGGGTGCGGGGTTCGGTGTGCGGGCCGCGGGCGGGCCCAGGGCGCGGGGTTCGGTGTGCGGGCCGCGGGCGGGCCCAGGGCGTGGGGCGTGGGGTTCGGTGTGCGGGCCGCGGGCGGGCCCAGGCTGCAGGGTGCGGGGTTCGGTGTGCGGGCCGCGGGCGGGCCAGGGGTGCGGGGTGCGGGGTTCGGTGTGCGGGCCGCGGGCGGGCCCGGGCTGCAGGGCGCGGGGATCGGTGTGCGGGCCGCAGGCGGGCCAGGGGTGCGGGGTGCGGGGTTCGGTGTGCGGGCCGCGGGCGGGCCCGGGCTGCAGGGCGCGGGGATCGGTGTGCGGGCCGCGGGCGGGCCCGGGCTGCAGGGTGCGGGGTTCGGTGTGCGGGCCGAGGGCGGGCCCAGGCTGCAGGGTGCGGGGTTCGGTGTGCGGGCCGCGGGCGGGCCCGGGCTGCAGGGTGCGGGGTTCGGTGTGCGGGCCGCGGGCGGGCCCGGGGGCAGGCGCACCTTTGCAGTGCACGGCGATGGCGCCCTCGGTGCTCTCGCAGATGCTCAGGAAGCGGCGCACGATGCTGTCGCTGGGCGTGCTGCCGTCGGTGAAGAACAGGTCGTAGTGCTCGAAGCCGGCGTCCGTGAAGCGCCGCGCCTCGTAGATCTTCTTGTTCAGCCTCACCACGGCCGTCACGTTGTGCTTCTTGAAGTAGGGGAAGTAGGCCTCGGGGGCGTGGAGGGGGTACCCTGGGGAGGGCGGGCTGTCAGCACGGCGGGGGAGGACCCCCTCCCCGCTCTCTCCCAGATCCGGGCTGTTCCTAAGCCCGCCCCCCCCCTCCCCCGAGCCCAGGGTCACCCACGGGGGCAGGCAGGGCTGAGAGGCCAACACAGTTTCCACTCCTGAGCGAAGAGGGAAGAGAGTGTACTTTCCGTCTCCCCTGGGGAGGGGGACGGACACGGGGGCAGAGAACCACCCTCCCGCCCGGGGAGTCTCCGGGCTCCTCGCCGGGTCCCTGTTCTCCCGAGAACAGGGCCGGGGCCGGGACAGCGATGGCCGCAGGACGCGAAGTCCTGACGACGATGGTGATCGCGGCACCAGGCTCTGCGACCTGCCTCCCTGACCCCAGCGGCCGGCCAGCCAGGGGCCCGGGGAGGCCTGGCCTGCACAGGGTGGGCAGAGAGCCGGCAGAGGCTGTGCCCTGGAGCCAGGCTCCGGGCTGCGCAGGGGCTGATTTCGGGTCAGAACCAGCCCGAGGCTAATGGTTGGGCCTCCACTTCCTGGAGTTGGGGAGGAGGTTCCTTCAAGATCCCCGGTGTTCCCGGTGAGTCATAACCAAAGCAGGGCACTGTCCTAGGACTGGGGGGCGCTGCTGGGGGTGCTGCCAGCGCTCCAGGCCTGGGCTGCCCCTCTCCGTCCGGCCGCTAGGTGGCGCCCTGGCATCGGTGAAGCACAGGCAGACCCTGGCGCTCGCCCCACCAGGCAGAACTTGAGGGCGGGCGGAGAGAGATCTGAAAATGCATCTCCTCCCCCCTGGAAAGGCGGGAAACTAAAGACAGCAGGGTCGGGTGACTAGGCCTCCCAGGCATTATTAAATCAAAAAGAACTGCAAAATGGGCAAATGCAGTCAATATGAGGCTCATTCGTGATAAACATGGAACCTGCATTTCTGCTCCTAATAAGCACCTGTCGTGTGCAGAGCACGGGGCACAGGCTCTAGTCCTCACTGCGCGCCTGCAGTGCGCCTGCCCCCCTTTGGTAGAGGGGACCCGCTCAGAGGCACAGGAATAGAGGGGACCCGCTCAGAGGCACAGGAGTAGAGGGGACCCGCTCAGAGGCACAGGAATAGAGGGGACCCGCTCAGAGGCGTAGGAATAGAGGGGACCCGCTCAGAGGCACAGGAATAGAGGGGACCCGCTCAGAGGCGCAGGAATAGAGGGGACCTGCTCAGAGGCACAGGAATAGAGGGGACCCGCTCAGAGGCACAGGAGTAGAGGGGACCCGCTCAGAGGCACAGGAATAGAGGGGACCCGCTCAGAGGCACAGGAATAGAGGGGACCCGCTCAGAGGCACAGGAATAGAGGGGACCCGCTCAGAGGCACAGGAATAGAGGGGACCCGCTCAGAGGCACAGGAGCTCACCCCCACGGGGTGCAGCCGGCCCCCACCTGCCCCTCTCCCACCTGCTCTCTCCTTAAAGGGGCAGCCGGCCTCCCTGCCTCCGCCGTCTCCCTCTCTCTGTGCTTTGTTCTCTTTAAAACGCGCGCCGGGCGCCAACGGCAGACCCACCATTCTCAATCTTGCTTTTGGGGTGTGGGCCGCTGAAGGCTAGGAACTTCCCCGGCACGATCCAGTTGAAGTCTCCGTTCTCCACGCGCTGCCGCATTTTGTGGGGAAGAGAAAGAGGGAATGATATGCCCCAGGCCCACGGCCCGCTTCGTTTTAAAAGATCCCAGACTTTCCAATGAACGGAACCGACAAGGCACTGCCCGACTGCGATCGCTTTTCCAGGACGGAGCCACATGACGATGGAAGAGCGCTCAGAGATCGGCCCTTCCCAAACCGCAGCGGAGAGGGGACACTGCCACCGGGACCCGGGCGCCGCCCCCCCGCCCCCCCCCCCCGGCCATCACGGCCTGAACCCGGGCGCCGTCCCCAGCCACCGCGGGCCCTGTCCACCCCCCCATCACAGCCCGAGCCCGGGCACCATCCCCCCCGGCCCCCGGCCACCCCGGCCCACCTCGTAGTGCTCGTACTCGTCCACATCGAACGTCTCGAAGTCGAAAAATCCGTGTTGCAGTCCCTGGGAGCAGAGGGAGTCAGTTTCCCCCGAGCTGGGGCGGCACCTGCCAGCCCGGGCGCCCTCGCCACCGCCCCGTGCCCACGCCCCTCCGTGCCCACGCCCCTCCGTGCCCACGCCCCCCGTGCCCACGCCCCCCCGTGCCCACGCCCCTCCGTGCCCACGCCCCTCCGTGCCCACGCCCCCCGTGCCCACGCCCCTCCGTGCCCACGCCCCTCCACGCCCGCGCCGCCCGTGCCCACGCCCCTCCGTGCCCACGCCCCTCCGTGCCCACGCCCCTCCGTGCCCACGCCCCCCGTGCCCACGCCCCTCCGTGCCCACGCCCCTCCACGCCCGCGCCGCCCGTGCCCACGCCCCTCCGTGCCCACGCCCCTCCGTGCCCACGCCCCTCCGTGCCCACGCCCCCCGTGCCCACGCCCCTCCGTGCCCACGCCCCTCCACGCCCGCGCCGCCCGTGCCCACGCCCCTCCGTGCCCACGCCCCTCCGTGCCCACGCCCCTCCGTGCCCACGCCCCTCCGTGCCCACGCCCCCCGTGCCCACGCCCCTCCGTGCCCACGCCCCTCCGTGCCCACGCCCCTCTGTGCCCACGCCCCTCCGTGCCCACGCCCCTCCGTGCCCACGCCCCTCCGTGCCCGCGCCGCCCGTGCCCACGCCCCTCCGTGCCCACGCCGCCCCTCCGTGCCCACACAGAGAGGACCGTGTGGCTGGCCGCAGCGGGTACCTTTCTGATTCCCTGCAAGCAGTCGAGGATGGTGAGGTTGTACGTGCAGTTTCCGAAGGAAGCGTCCCTGTGGACACGGAAAAGACCCACGTCCGTCTGTGCCGAGAGCCCAGCCCACCGGCCCGGCGTGGGCCGGCGTGGTCAGCGAGGGGCCCACCGGATGCGACTCCTGGGGGCCTCACTCCACGGCCCCACCCCAGGGGGCGGGGGCGGGGGCCCAGCCCGGCTCGAGGGTCGGACTCAAACCCCAGCCCTGCTGGGGCCTGGCCGGGGACGCCGCCCGTGGCCTCCGAGTCCCGCTGAGACGCAGGCCGGGGGGCGGTCGGGGACACTGAGCCCGGGAAGCCCTCCCCCGGGCCGGCGCACGGGAAGCATCGCTGGTGCCGTCGCTGACAGGCCTCACAGACCTGGGCTGCGTTATTTCTGACATATTGTTACTGGAGTCAGAGAGGAAGGGAGAGGGAGAGGAACATCAGTGATGAGAGTGCCGTGGCCCGGCTGCCTCCTGCACGCCCCCCGCTGCGGACCAAGCCCACAACCGGGGCCTGTGCCCTGACCGGGACTCGAACCCTGACCTCCTGGCTCATAGTTCAACGCTCCACCCCTGAGCCAGCCGGGCGGGCTGGACTTTGTGAAGACACTGACCGTCGAGGGAGGGGCGAGCACTGAGGGAGGCAGGGCGGAGGATGGGTGCAGGTCACAGACCCAGCAGCTATTTCCCGGGTGAAATGCCAGCCCCTCCCCCAGGCAGACCCCCCGAAACCACGGGAAACGGCGGCCAGGCCTCCGAGGGGCGCCCTCTCGGGAGGGGACAGGCCGCACCGAACACCGCGCGCTTCATCCTTTATTTACGTTCCGGGGCCTGAGCAGGCTGCTCGCTCTCCGCAACCCAAGACGCCGGCTCAGGTTCGCCGAGCAGGAGCTGGCCCCGCCCGGCCACGGGTCCCAGGGGCCCGGGCACCCCGCCCCCGAGGCTCGTCCCCGCAGCCCCCCGCTGACCGCGGACCCTCCCCCGCTGACCGCGGACCCCCCCGCTGACGGCAGACCCCCCATGACAATGGACCCCCCCCCGACCGCGGACCCCCCCGCTGACCGCAGACCCCCCCCGCTGACCGCAGACCCCCCCGCTGACCGCGGACTGGCTCCACCCCGACCCCCGCTGACCGCAGACCCCCCCCGCTGACCGCGGACCCCCCCGCTGACCGCGGACCCCCCCGCTGACCGCAGACCCCCCCTGACAATGGACCCCCCCGCTGACCGCAGACCCCCCCGCTGACCGCAGACCCCCCCCGCTGACCGCAGACCCCCCCCGACCGCGGACTGGCTCCACCCCGACCCCCGCTGACCCCGGACCGGCTCTGCCCCATCCCCCGCTGACCGCAGACCCCCCTGCTGACCGCGGACCGGCTCTGCCCCATCCCCCGCTGACTGCAGACCCCCCTGCTGACCGCGGACCGGCTCCGCCCGGCCCCCCTGACCGCGGACCCCCCCCCCGCTGACCGCAGACACCCCCCCCCCCCCGGACCGGGCCCGGCAGGAGGCCGCCCATCCATGAATCTCCCTCATCAGCGGTGTTTCTGGCTCTCCCTCTCCCTTTCTCTCTGAGATCAATACAATACACTTTTTTAAAGTTAAACACAGAGAGAGATCTATTCTGTGATGGGGGCTCCCGTCTGCTTTGCGTGAGAAGGAAGGGGAGGCAGCCCCTGCCCCCTGCCCCTGCCCCCTGCCCCCTGCCCCGTGCCCTCCAGCCCCCTGCCCCTGCCCCCTGCCCCGTGCCCTCCAGCCCCCTGCCCCTGCCCCTGCCCCCTGCCCCGTGCCCTCCAGCCCCCTGCCCCTGCCCCCGTGCCCTGTGCCCGTGCTGAGCGGCCGTCCTGAACCCCTGTGGGCCCTGCAGGCTCTGACTCGCCCGGCACAGTCACGGCTGTGGCCACGGGGAGACTCGCTCAGCAACAGGGGTCACGGGGTCGCCCGCCACGGCACTCCCTCCCACGCAAACAGGCGGCGTTCACCGGGCCCTGACCCGGCGCGGCGGGGTCTGAGGAGGCCTCTCCTGGAGAGCAAATCTGCTGCCCCACGGAGATGGGCCGGCCACTGCCAGGCTCCGGGGGCCGGACACACACACACACACACACACACCAGGCTCCAGGGGGCCGGACATACACACACACACACCAGGCTCCGGGGGCCGGATACACACACACACACACACTCACACACTCACCAGGCTCCGGGGGCCGGATACACACACACACACACACTCACACACTCACCAGGCTCCGGGGGCCAGATACACACACACACACATGCACACCAGGCTCCGGGGGGCTGGATACACACACACACACACACACACTCACACACACACACACACACACACACACACTCACACACACACTCACACACACACACACACTCACACACACACTCACACACACACACACACACACACACTCACACACACACACACACTCACACACACACACTCACACACACACTCACACACACACACACTCACACACACACTCACACACTCACACACACACACACACACTCACACACACACACACACTCACACACACACACACACTCACACACACACACACTCACACACACACACACTCACACACACACACACTCACACACACACACTCACACACACACACACACACACACACTCACACACACACTCACACACACACACACACTCACACACACACACACACACACACTCACACACACACACACTCACACACACACACACACTCACACACACACACACACACACACACCCCCAGTTGGAGGCCAGCAGCTCCATCTGAGCCTCTGGGGGAACAGCATCCTGGGTCTGAGAGCAGAGGTCACGGAGATGGGGCGGGGGAGGGAGTGGGAGATGGGGGATGACTCTTTACTCAACAATTCCAGTTCTCAGGTTCCTCAGCACCGTGGCGGGCAACCGGCGACTCACGAGCCACAGGCGGCTCTCTGGCCCCTTGAGGGTGGCTCTTTCGCAAAACACCACGGCCCGGGCGAGTCTACCTTGAAGAAGTGGCGTTAGGAGTTGAAGTTTAAAAAGTTCGGCTCTCCACAGCCAGTCGTTGTGCTGTTGGTATTTGGCTCCGTGGCCGGATGAGTTTGCCGGGCGGCCCCAGCACGTGTGCGCGAACAGAATCCTGCTTCATCACCTGTCGCCCGTTACGCCCTCCGTGGTGACGTGCCCAGGCTCTGCGTTTCCCGGGCTCTTTCCTCTCCCTGCTGTGCTCCCCGGTTCCCCCGAGAAGGTCAAGTACAGTGGGTGCCGTCTTCCCCGCGGCCCCCGCCTGTGGTCTGAGACACAGGTTCGAATCCCTCGAACCCCAGGCATTTTCTCTTAACAAATTCACTGAAGTGATTGCTGCGAACACGTCTAAGCGTCAGGCCCGGGGACCTGCCCTGTGAGCACAGGGGAGCCCGGAGGCAGCCCCAAGGAGGCTCCGGGCCTTCCCGCTCCTTTCCCCACGCTGTGGTCACGCCACCTCGGAAATAGGCAGCAGCCGTCCTAGGCTGGCAGGTTTGCACACACAGATGAGCACACACATCAGGATCATTTACAACCAGAGAGGACCACTGAGGGGGCTCTGATGTGTACCCCTCCTGCTGTTTACACAGCTCTAGTTCTCTCCAAATTTCTAAAAGATCTTCTTTGGCCCTAACCGGTGTGGCTCAGTGGATAGAGCGTCGGCCTGAGGACTGAAAGGTCCCAGGTTTGGTTCCAGCCCAGGGCATGTTCCTTGGTTGTGGGCACATCCCCGGTAGGAGGTGTGTGGGAGAGGCTGATTGATATTTCTTTCCCATCGATGTTTCTAGCTCTCTACCCTCTCCCTTCCTCTCTGTAAAAAAATCAATAAAATATATATTTTTTTTAAAAAAAAAAAAGATCTTCATTTGCCCGATGGTTATGTCTCAGGGGCTGAGCATCAACCTATGAACCAAGAGGTCACGGTTCAATTCCGGCCAGGGCACAGGCCCGGGCTGCAGGCTGGATCCCCAGTAGGGGGTGTGCGGGAGGCAGCCAAGCAATGAGTCTCTCTCATATTGATGCTTCTCTCTCTCTCTCCCTCTCCTTCCTCCCTGAAATCAATACAATTCTATTTAAAAATAAATAAATAAGGATAAAAAGATCTTCTTTCTGTGATGCTTACAAACTGCTCCCTCCCAGCTCTGTCAGGGAGAGACCCACCCTGGCTGAAGCCACATGCGCGGCCGATCGCAGCCGGGCCCGCTGAGCGTCTTACTTCGGAAGGTGCTGATTCTACCTGCCCAGCCCCTCACCGCCCCCCACCACTCACCCCCCCCTCCCGGCACGGGGTCAGGGGGCAGCCCGTGAAAGGGAAGAATGAATGGGTGGATCAATGAGCTCGGTTGCTGAGCGCTCACGAGTCTTGGTACAGCTCTGAGCTCCTGAATCGGGCACCCCTTGCACTCAAGCAGCCAGGAAATATCTAGAAAGGGCCGGGGGAGTTAATCCCTGAGAGGAGAAAGCTGTTCTATCTCACTAGACTGGGGGGTAGGGGGAGAGGAAACTGGGCAAAAAGGAAATAACAGAAACCACCTCGAGCTTTACTCCATGTGACATCCTGGTCACGGTCCTGAGACCATTGGAACCAATAACCCACGGACAGTGCGAGCCGCCCAGCACGGCGCCCCCGCCCGCGCCCACCCCCCGCGCCCCCGCAGCCGTACCTGAATGGAAGGTAGGGGGGGTTGGAGCCGGACAGGAGCGCCCTGTAGGCCTCTTCCGGAGTCTTCTTCAAGTAGATGACCTGCGGCAGACAGACAGCGGGTTCAGATGGCACCCAGGACGCCCGGAGCGGGATGCTCGCCCTGTGGGCACCCCTCCCGCTGGGGGGCAGGAGGCAGGTGATCGCGGGGTCTTCGGAGAGCAACGGGGCTGCCCGCCTGTCCTGTCAGCCCTGGCGTAAGGGAGGCTGAGAGCCTGGGCACAGAGGGCAGACCCTGAGCTGCCTGGGCCGTGCTAAAGGCACGCCAACAGCCAGCTGGTGTGGCTCAGTGGTGAGCGTCGGCCTAGGAACCAGGAGGTCAGGGTTTGATTCCCGGTCGGGGCACAGGCCCGGGTTGTGGGCTCCATCCCCAACAGGGGGCGTGCAGGAGGCAGCCAGTCGATTGATGTTTCTCTCCCTCTCCCTTTCCCTTCCTCTCTGAAATCAATAAAAATATGTATTCTCACACACACACACACACACACACACACACACACACACACGTCACGGGGTGGGTCCCGCTGGGAGCAGGCCCACTGTGTGTTGCTGAGGGCACTGTGCTCCCCGCAGCCCCCGGCCCCGGCCCTCTCGGGAGAGCCGCCTCGGGGTGACGGCGCTGGGTCAGACCATCGGAGCTCCCTGCACAGAGCAGGCCCACGGCCTCCGGAGCCGGACCGGCCGCCCGGGAGCCGCTCTCCCCGCGCGGCTCAGCAGCATGACCGCTCCGGGGAACGTGAGCCGGGCTTTATTTTTATCCCGGCGCTCAATTATTCATCAGCGCAAAGCGACACCCGCCGGCCTCGCCATCCCAGGAAGGCCCCGGCGGGGCAGGCGAGGGCAATGCCCTCCGCGCCCGCCGTGGGGGGCACGGGAGAGGCGGGGCGCCCGCAGAGAGGGCGCAGCGGAGGGCACCCTCGGGCCGTTAGAGCACCAGGTGCCATGTTTCAGGAGAAAATGTGTCACGGTTCTCATGTGTCACGGCCCTGCCTCTGGGGAAAGGGAGGGAGCCCTGGACGGGTGCTCGGCTGGCTGGAGCTTCAGCTCGAGGCTGCAGGTTCGATTCCCGGTCAGCACCCATCCTGGGCTGTGGGCTCAGTCCCCGAGGGGCACGTGTGGGAGGCAACCGATTGATGTTTCTCTCTCTGCCCCCCCTCTTTCCCTGTCCCTTCTTCTGTCTCCAAAAATAATTTTTTTTAAAAAAACATATCCTCAGTGAGGATTTAAAAATATGAAATAATTCTTTAAAAACATAAGTTCTCCTGGTGGTAGGCGCTGTTCCCGGAAAGTGACTGATTTGGCTCCTTAATCCCCACGGCCGTCCCGAGGCAGAGAGGAGATGAACGTGGGTCCCCAAACACTTTTCCTCCGTTTCACCCGTGTCCGTGGGCCTCTGGTACCAGCCACACGGTACCAGCCACACGGTACCAGCTGCATGGTACCAGCTACACAGTACAATCTGCCCGGTGCCAGCCTGCACAGTATTAGCCTGCCCCGTACCAGCCTGTATGGTACCAGCCACACGGTACCAGCTGCACGGTGCCAGCCACACGGTACAGCCTGCACGGTGCCAGCCTGCACAGTACCAGCCTGTATGGTACCAGCCACACGGTACAGCATGCATGGTGCCAGCCTGCACAGTATTAGCCTGCCCCATACCAGCCTGTATGGTACCAGCCACACGGTACAGCATGCATGGTGCCAGCCTGCACAGTATTAGCCTGCCCCGTACCAGCCTGTATGGTACCAGCCACACGGTACCAGCTACATGGTACCAGCTGCACAGTACCAGCCACACGGTACAGCCTGCACGGTGCCAGCCACGGGTACCTGCTTACCCGGCTGCCCTGAACACCGTCATGACAGCAGAACAAAAACGAATGGCCCTGTCGCCAGCCGCCTGCACCCTGTGTCCGGGAGGCACGCGTCTGTCAGGGACGCAGCGCTGGGGCCTGCGACATGGGTCCCGGGTGGGAGAATTAGTGCCGGAGGCTGGTACCGGGGTGGTGGGAGCACACGTACAGATGATGCAGCGCAGAAATGTAGGCTTGAACCTGTACATCTGTTAGCCACGCCACCCAATGAGCTTAATTGTGAGACAGGAAGCAGCAGCAGGAGATCAATGAGCCTGTGGATACGGCTCTGACGCGAACCCTGAGTGATTCCACACGCTGGACTGACACTCTGACATCACCAGCTCCTTCCAAACGCACTGCTCTCCCCGCCCTGGCCCTGGGCTCGGGACCGACTCCAAACCTGGGCGCTGGTGGGCAGGACAGCTGGCACAGGAGAAAGGGTTTCTTGATGTGAACAGAGAAAAAACGGGGAAGAACCGTGAAGCAGAAAAGACATAAGACTCCCTGGCCTGGCCGGCGTGGCTTAGCGGTTGAGCATCAAACCATGAGCCAGGAGGTCAGGGTTCCATTCCCCGTCAGGGCACAGGCTCGGGTTGGGGGCTCCATCCCCAGAGGGAGGCGTGCAGGAGGCAGCCGATCCAGGATTCTCTCTCACCACTGATGTTCCTATCCCTCTCTCTGAAAAGTCATTAGAAACACTAAAAAATAAATAAAGAGGCCGAGTTGCACAGGAGGAAGGCCTCCGTGCTGGCTGGAGGGTGGGGGGGAGAGGGAGAGGTGGGGGAGGATCCGGCGGGGTGGGGGCAGGGAAGCCGAGGGGCTGGCTCCCACGGCCAGGACCCTTGCAGAAGCCCAGCCCCTCCCAGGAGGGGAGAGGGCGGGAGGACCAGACAGCCACGCATTCATTAGTAACTGGAGCACGCTCCCGAGGGGCCACGGAGAAGCCGCGTGCTCCTTTCCGAGCTGAAGGAGCCTGAGGTGAGATGCTATCCGCTCCCCAAGACAGAGGCTGGGGCATGGGAACCGGGTCTCCCATCGGCCGCCCAGGCTCACAGCCGCCTTCCCTCCGGGGCAGCTCAGAATAGGAAACCAACAATGGGCCCCACAGGAACTGGCTGTTCCCGCTGTGTGTACAGGGCCGTTGCCGGGCGAGGCGGGGCACGGGGGTGGGGTGCCGGTCAGGTGTCCGCAGGGCGGGCGCGACTGGAGCCTCGGGCCGCGCCCAGGGTGCTTGGCTGCGGGACAGACTGTCCTCCGAGAACACGGCAGAATCAATCACTCTTCAGTGCCCACACACTGTCAGCCCGGCCCAGTGTGGCTCAGTGGTGGAGCATCGACCTAGGAACCAGGAGGTCAGGGTTGGATGCCCGGTCAGGGCACAGGCCCGGGTTGCGGGCTCCATCCCCATTGGGGGTTGTGCAGGGGGCAGCTGATCTATGATGCTCTCATCATTGATGTTTCTCTCTCTCTCTCTCTCTCTCTCTCTCTCTCTCTCTCTCTCTCCCTTCCTTCCTCTCTGAAATCAGGAAAAACACATACATTTAGACTGCTTATTCCACTATGATAATGATGGTTTTCTCATGTAGATGTAGGTTTTAATTTTTTAATATTTTTATTATTATACACTGGCCGGGCTCTATATACTTTTGAAAGCAGCAATCGTATTCCCTGAATACTTCCATCCACTCATGTCAACACGGGAGGACTGAGACCCGTGAAGGCGGCGGCCCCAGGAGAAGGGACGGAAGCCCAGCCAGCAGAGGCGGTGCCCACAGGCCCAACAGAGGCACCACGGACCGTAATCCGCCTACGTCCCCTCCCCGGGCTGCTGGGAATGCGCGCCCCTCCCAGGCACGGCCGCGGGAGGCCTCGCCGCTTCCAGAACCCCCTCGACTCAGTGCACCGTGAAGCGAACGCACACAGCTCTGCCGTGGAGAAAGTCAGTGATTTCTCAAGGCTGCTGATGAGGCTCCAGAAAAGGCGTGAGCAAGCTGCTGGGGGCAAATACAGTGTGCCGTACTGAATACGGGGTGTGTGTGTGTGTGTGTGTGTGTGTGTGTACAAGACCAGCCACACGGGACCAGCCTGAGAGCTTTTTAACATATATATATATATATATATATATATATATATATATATATATATAGTTGTTGTTATTATTATTATTTCAGAGAGAAAGGGAGAGGGAAAGAGACAGAAGTGTCAATGATGAAAGAGAATCATAGATCGGCTGCCTCCTGCACGCCCCCCACTGGGGACTGAGCCCACAACCTGGGCCTGGGCCCTGACCGGGAATCGAACCCTGACCTCCTGGTTTACAGGTTGATGCCCAGCCACTGAGCCCTGCCGGCCGTGCGCTGAGAGCCTGTTTACAGCACAGACGGGGTTTGCGATCAGGACCCACGAGGAGAACAGAAAGCAGAGATTCCTGGAAAGACGTGTTTATTCCGTTAAACACGGACGGAAAGCCTTTTCCTCGCCCGCAGCCAAACGGGATCCCAGACAGGGCGCCCGCCCTGGCCGCAGGCTCAGGGCTCCCGGCTGCGAGGTCGCCGGTGAGGTGTGAGGGGGCCTGACCTCCTCCAGAGCCACCAAAGACCGCCAGGGCGAGCGCCCGCCCCGCCCACCTGCAGGCGATGACCACCCTCCGGCTGTGATTCTCGCCCTCCGGCTGTGAGAGGAAGGAACTGGGGACCGGAAGCTGCGGGCCCAGGAACAGGCCCCGGAGCACACCCATGGTGGCTGCCTAAGAACCCGGAGGCTAAGGCCTCTGTCCTGAACCAACATTTTATATTTTTTTTAGGTTGATGCTCAACCACGGAGCCACACCGGCCAGGCTCTGCACTTAACTTTTAAAGCCAAACCAGGGCTTTTCATGTCCGCTCCTCAGACACACGCTCTCCCTCCTTCGGCCGTCCCGGCCTGGACCCCCACACGCCCCGCCTTGACCCCCATCGCTGTCTGTGAACATACAGAGGCCCTCCCCCACGCAGAGTGGGGACAGAAACATGGGTGCATCGGGGAGGGGCTCGCGTGGGTGACAGGCAGGAAGCCACGCCCGGCCTGGCCTGGGAGGTGCCGGCTGCCAGGCCACGGCAGGCTCAGAGCCGGCGCTGGTGGCCCGGCCGGCTGGCTCAGGGGCTGAACGAAGACCTAGGAACCAGGAGGGCACGGTTCCATTCCCGCTCAGGGCACAGGCCCGGGTGTGGGCTTGATCCTCAGTGGAGGGCGTGCAGGAGGCAGCCGGTCCATCTCTCATTATTGATGGTTTCTCCCTCTCCCTCCCTCCCTCTCTGAAATCAATAAAAATGTATTAAAAAGAAAGAAAAAGAAAAGAAAGGTTGGTGGCTGCACCACACTGTGAATGCGCCTGATTCCACGGCCGTACACGTCACACGGGTCAGGAGTCATCGCAAGAAAGAAAGCACGCAACTCTGGATGATGACACGTGTTAACTGGACTTCACCTCCAATCTCATCGTTTTCAGAGTTTTCCTCTGACGTGACCTCCCTCCCTCCCTCCCTCCCTCCCTCCCTCCCTTCCTTCCTTCCTTCCTTCCTGTGGGGTCATTCCCTTTTCCATTCATTCGCTCCATGTTTATCAGGCGCCTGTGATGTGCTGGGCACAGCTCTAAGCTCGATGCTCAGCGTCCAGACACTGACACAGCCCCCTCGTCCCACAGCCTGGCAGCACCCCACCCTCCCCGACACCGGCCGCCCCTCCTCCTCTCTCTCCGGGACGCCCCCACCCGGAAGGCCCCGTGGTGGACAGTGCCCCGTCGGGGGAGGCCCTGACCCCCGGTTGAACGTTTTGCCGCCTCCCAGACACAGCAATGCGTGGAGCCAGCAAGGTCCCCCCGCCTTCTGGTCCGGGAAAGAGATAAGCAACCAGCAAACATGTCCACGACTCAGATAAGCCAGACGCGGAGCCACAGAGACAACGGAACAGCCACGGGCAGGGGGGAGGGGGGGACGGAGCAGGAGCACCTGGGAGGAGGCTCCGGGGAGGGACCCTGGGGAGGAACAGGGGCCCGAGGGCTGGGCTGGGACACTGCAGGGGACGGAGCCGGCGAGGCCTCTGCCTGGAGCACGAGAGGGGTCCCATGGGGGAGGCCACAGGGACGGGAGCATCTGTCCTCTTAAAAGATCTTAGCAGTTTTTCGAGGGGGAGAGTGACAGGGATGTGAGAGTGAAACGCAGATCCGCTGCCTCCTACCAGGGATGGAGCCTGGCCTGGGTCCTGACCGGGAATCGAACCATCAGCCTTTCCGTGTGCCAGACGACGCCCCACCAGCCGAGCCACGCCGGCCGGGCCGGGGGAGGATGGTGAGCGCGGAGCCCAGAGAGGCAGACAGCCGGGAGGATCGGTGGCCCCGGGAAAGAGGCCGGCCTCCACGCCAGGAACGGGGCATCCTGGACGGGGCAGTGACCCCGTTTCCTTTGTGCTCGTGAAGGCCACTCTGGCCCGGGTCCAGGATGAGTGGAGAGGGCGGGGCGCCGGGCTGGCGTCCCGGTGGGCAGCGGCCATGGCCGGTGGGGACGGCAATCGCCATGGGGCAGCAACACGTCTGCAGACGGGGCTGCCCACACTGCGGGCCGGTGAGGAGAGGAAGGAGAGAAGCCACCACGATCAGTCTCCTCTGACTCAGCACGTTGCTGACCGAAGTCCACTTACTTACTTAAAAGGCAAGCATGGCCCTGGCCGGTGTCGCTCAGTGGATAGAGCGTCGGCCCGGATTCGATTCCGGCAAGGACATGTACCTCCATGCAGGCTCCAGCTCTGGCCCTGGTTGGGGAGCGTGAGGAAGGCTACCCATCGATGTGTCCCTCTCACTTCGATGTCTCTCTCTCTCTCTCTCTCTCTCTCTCTCTCTCTCCTCCCTTTCTCTCTCTTCTCTCCTCCCTCTCTCTTCTCTTCTCTCTCGCTCTCTCTGTATCTCACTCTCCTCTCTCTCTCTCCTTTCTCTCTCTCCTCTCTTTCTCTCTCTTTCTCCTCTCTCTCTCTCTCCTCTCTCTCCTCTCTTTCTCTCTCTCTCCTCTCTCTCCTCTCTCTCTCTCTCTCTTTTCTCCTCTCTCTCTCTCTCTCTCTCTCTCTCTCTCTCTCTGGTCTCTCCCCTCCCTTCCATCCTCTCTATAAATCAATGGGGAACTATCCCGGGTGAGGGTTAACGACAACCAAAGGCCAGGCCTGGGGGAGAAGGAAGAACATGGGGCAATGGTGGTTTCAGGGGAGCAGTCACCAGCCCCCCGAAGGGAGCCGGGAGGAGCCTGCAAACACGGCTCCCATTCCCCCGCCCCCAACCCATCCCGGCGCCCCCAGCAGCCCGCCGCCCGGCTGCCCTGAGTGAAAGCCACAGCCGCTGGTGCGCACCCAGCCCCGGTCTCTCGGAATCGGGGGGAACTCGGACGCCACGGCACCCCCACCCCGGCTCGCTTTACGGAGAAGGAACCGAATGGAGCCGGCGATGGTGGCTGAGCAGGAAGCTTTCAGTTCACGCTCAGGACCCCGCGAGCCACAGCCCTCGCTTACTCTCGTGGCCGTCAGACACGGCCAGACACCGCGGCCGCGGGGGTCTATGCCGAAGAAGTGGCGTCGGAGCAAGTTTAAGAGCTGCGGCTCAGAAGAGACATCCTGGCTGTGCTGTTGGCATTCGCCCTGTGGACTGAGAGTGCGCCACCCCCGCCCACGGGCCTGCTTGCTGGAGGGATAAGCGGGTGGTAAACACAATCACCGCCAGCCTTCCCGTGCACTCTGCGATTTCCTTCTATCCAAACAAGGAACATCTCAACAGCCTCCTGATATATGTGGTTTTTTTTTTCTGGAAATACCCTCTCTGGGGATGCTTTTTGCTCTAACACCTGCACTGCCCTGGAATCCCAGCCACACAGCGCGGCTCCCAGAACCCGCCATCGGCTACGAAAATAAAACCGCAGAGGGCACTGCCCACGGGTACCAGGTCCACTCTCTCCATCCAGTCAGCTTCCCCCCACCGGCTGCGGACAGGGGACGGGGGGGACGGGGGGGCCGGGGAGGACGGGGGGACGGAGGGGACGGGGGGGACGGGGGGAATGGGGGGATGGAGGGGACGGGGGGACGGGGAGACGGGGGAACGGGGGGGACGGGGGGGATGGGGGGACTGAGGGGACGGGGGGGACGGGGGGAATGGGGGGGACGGAGGGGACGGGGGGGACAGAGGGGACGGGGGGACGGGGAGACGGGGGAACGGGGGGGACAGGGGGGATGGGGGGGGACGGAGAGGACGGCATCAGCACCCCCAGAGAGCAGCCGCCACCGGTACTCACGGCGTAGGCACCGATCAAGAACGCTGCGTTTGCTCTTTTCCGCTGGTCGAAGCAGGTGTAATGCACTATTTTCTTTCTTGACAAACTGTAGGACTAGAGAGAGGGGGGGAGAGTTAGGGCGGCCACAGCGACCGGCTGACAGATGCAGACACCCCCTCTCTCAGCTCTCCGGGGCGGGCCCCCGGGGGCCGGCACACCAGGGTCTCCACGGCGTCTGAACCGGTGCCGGGGCGTGGGGTTCCCAGCCCGGACTCTTTGCAGCCCCACGCGATGGGAGAGCTGGCACTGGACCGCGTGTGTGTCTCTCCGGGAAAGCAGACGCGTGCGTTGATAATAACTGGGTTACTAACGAGCATCTTTGTGGGCAGGAAAGTCCTTTGTCCACGCCCCGCACGCCCGGAGGAGCGGCCTCTGCCGGGCACATCGTACAGCTGGCTTTGGCCGTGCCCGTCAGTCCATTTCCGCGTTAACACGTGTAAGTGCCCGCATCAATGAGCACCGCGCTAACGTTTTCTGTCTATAACCCGGAGATCCACGGAGTGGCCAGAGTATTAGGATTTCCGAACCCACAATCATCTGGCCACTCCGTGTCTATCCTATGGAATAAAAGGCTAATATGCAAATTGTCCCCTCGACCAGGAGTTTGACCAGCAGGCAGGCCGGCCAGCCAACCGCCCATGTCCCCTCTCCCTGGCCAGGCTGGCCGGACCCCACCCATGCAGGAATTCATGCACCAGGCCTCTAATATATATATATATAAATATGGCCACATATATAATCCGGCCACTCGGTGTAAATGGTTAATAGAAAAAGGTGAACCATCCACGGGATTAAACCAGCAACGTCTTACTACAGCCGCCGGGTATTAAATCCACAGACTCAAACAGGCATGGAGCGCCTGCTGCACGCCAGGCAATATGCTACGTGCTCAAGCGCTCAGCCGGACCCAACACGAGCAGCATGGTGCGTGTGGCCATGCCAAACGGAAGAGACTGTGCAAGCGGAAAGGCCGGTTAAAGCGAAATCAAGGAGTTAATCCGAACTCAGACATAAAACAGGGAGCTCAGCAAGAGCCTCTCCGTTTCCTCATTTCCCACATTATAGCGTGTCTTGTTGTTGTTAATTCTCACTGGGGGGTATTTTCTCCATGGTTTTTTCATGAGAGCAGAAGGGGGAGGAAAGGAGAGAAAAAGAGACGCATCGATGTGTGAGACACATCCACTGGTCGCCTCCCGTACACACCCCGACCAGGGGTGGGGAGCGAACCCACAACCCAGGTCCGTGTCCTTGACCGGGAATCAAACCCGAGACCCTTCAGTGCGAGGGCCAACGCTCTAACCACTGAGCTGCACCAGCCGGGACCCAACGTGATCGCCCTTCGACAAACGGTTCTCATGATACAGACACGTAAGTGGCCATACGTATCCATCACCTGGCACTGACCACCACACACAGAGTATCTGCGCTCAGAGGCCCCTCGGGGATGTAAGGGAGCTCCACGCTCGCCCTCCGTGACCCGGACCCATTACCCCCGGAGGAACGCCCAGTGACCAGTGACGGGGAGACGGTGCATGTGGTCCTCCCGCCCAGCCCCGGCCGGCCTCCCTCTCCGGGGTCACTGCCCCAGCCCTGCACCAGCAGCACCGTTCAGCAGAAGGCCATCTGGTGCCCGAATGAAAACGCTGGGGCATAACAAAAGCTCTTTTACAACAAAGCCTCCTTTATAGCAAAAACGCTTTGCCAACTCGGGTTCAGGCCCGGTTGGGCACGTAGGGGAGGCCACTGATCAGTGTTTCTCTCTCACGTCCGTGTTTCTCTCAAACAAACAAACAAAAAAACAAACAAACAAACTGCTGGTGGTGAGCATAAATTCCGTGGTTGTTTTTTTACGTAGCATTCATGCCCCCAGAACGGGTCTGAGGCCTGCACGCAGCCCAGGCTCCCCGTTTGCTGGGTCTGAGCGCGGAGGCGGTGGCTGAGGAAGTGGTGTTTGGTCTCTCAGCGGGAGCGGAGCCGAAGCTGGGAGTGAAGCAGCTGACGGGGGGCAGAGGGGCACCCCTGGCACTCGCTGGAAACGCTCCGTCTGATGCTCAGCAAGGGGAGAGGGTGGCCCGGCTGCTGCAGACGGACAGGCAAGGACCAGCGGGCGACCTTCCTGACAGGTGCGGGCACTGTCCAACAAGGTCGAGAGCCCGCCGGTCAGGGAAAGAGCCTCGTTCTGCCAAGGGAACGGTCCTGGGCTCGGTTCTGATCTAGGGCGTGTGCCCGGGCTGCGGCTCCATCCCCAGGAGGAGGCGTGCAGGAGGCAGCCGGTCCGTGATGCTCTCTCATCGTGGATGCTTCTCTCTCTCCCTCTCCCCTCCTCTGAAATCCGTAAACATATGTACTTTCCAAAACGGTAAAGGAAGGGTAGATAAAGGTGGGCCTTCGTATTTCCTATCCATCCATTCACATCCTCCACCTCCAGGCGTTCCCACCCCACTGCGTCCCTGACAGGAGAGCTTCCGCCCTCTCGTGGGAACGCTGACGGCACACACACGCACACACACGCACACATACACACACATGCACGCATGCACACATATATACACATGCACACATGCACACACATGCACACACGCACGCACATGCACACACGTGCACATACACACACATACACACACTCACACACACAGTCACTCACACTCACACACACACACACACACACACACACACACTCATTCATACACACACACACACACACCTACACTGAACCAAAGTCCCGAGGGCGAGGACGGAACGGCGTAAATCAGGGTGTTGGCCTTGCCCCCGGACAGGCACTTCCTGTCCAGGAAGCAGAGCCTGTGCCAGGCGTCCTCGTGGCGCGGCTCCGGTGGGAACCGGCCCCAGTGACTCTGTGACGGAGGCGGGACGGGCCACTGGCTGAGCCGTCGCAAACAGCCCGGCCGTCCTTGCACACACCAAGCCGTGACGTGCACACACCATGCTCGGTCAGGAGATCCCAGACCTCTGAGCCGTTCACACCCCAAGGCGAGCGAGGCAAGGAAGCTCGAAGCCAAAACGCAAGGACCGAGTCCACGGCCAACCCGGAGCGGCCGGCCGCCCTGCGGGAAGGGGCTGCGGGGGAGGCGGCGGCTGCCGGGGCTCGGCGAGGACACCGTGTCGTTCCCTGGGCCCCCGCCGGGCCGGGCCGGGCTGGGGAGACCCATGCGGCCCGGGGAACGTGCTAATCAAACAGGCGCAGCCGTGCACCCCACGCCGGCCGCTCAGCGGCGACGGGTCAGACGGAGCGGGTGACAGCCCGGGGCCCGGTGACCAGGCCAGCCCAGCTATGGCCGCAGCCACCAGCGTCTCCATAGCAACAGCAAAAGCCATCGAAGGCGCTAACGGCCCCCCTGTGCGCAGCCAGCACCTGTGCGTGGTTACCTCCAGCTTGCCCAGGAAGGGGATATTCCGGAACGTTCTCTTGGGCTGCGCACAAAACAAAGCACGGTTACGTCTACGCTCAGTGCACCCAGGTGACAGGGGGTGGGGGGTCTCAGCAAAAAGGGAAAGGCATCTGGGCGGCCCCTGGCGGTCCAGACCCACGCCCTTAGCGACTGAGTCAGACATCCGAGCATCATGGGAACAAGACGGTCCCGTGGGTCCTGTGGCCCACAGCACGGCACAGGGGGTGCTCTACAAAAGGGGTTCCCCTCGCCCGGCCGGCGTCGGCCTATGAACCAGGAGGTCAGGGCTCGATTCCCAGCAGGGCACCTGCCCGCGTTGCAGGCTCCATCCCCATTGGGGGGCATGCAAGAGGCAGCTGATCCATGATTCTCTCTCATCATCAATGTTTCTTTCTATCTTTCTCTCTGAAATTAACAAAAATACTTTTTTTTTAAATAGGTCGTTCCTGCCAGGACCGGTTTGGCTCAATGGATAGAGCGTCGGCTTGGGGACTAAAAGGTCCCGGGTTCGATTCTGGTCAAGGGCATGTACTTTGGTTGCGGGCATATCCCCAGTAGGGGGTGTGCAAGAGGCAGCTGATTGATGACTCTCTCTCATTGATGTTTCTGACTCTCTATCTCTCTCCCTTCCTCTCTGTACAAAATCAATAAAATATATTTTTTTTAAAAATAGGTCGTTCCCCTAGCTGGGGATTTCTGAATGTCCCAGAAGGGTCCCAAGTCTTGCAAATGCCAATGGGAGCTCCCTGCCACGTGAATTCACGCTGCCTCGAGCCCCTGGCCCCTCCCTAATCCACAGGAACTGCCTCCAGGAGGAAGCTGGCTCCCCCGCCCCCAAGCCCGTGACCTGAAACTGAAGATAACCCGTGAGGAAATCTCAACATGCCTTTGTGGCTGTACTAGAGGGTGGTCTGATCACGATAGCAAAGGGCTTTTGTGTGCAAGCACCCGATCCGGGGCGGGGCTGGCCGGCTGGGGTTACCGCGATTCCCTCAGCACCGGGCATCGCCGGCCCACCACCTGCCGGGCACCTGTGCTCCGCACAATCGCCGTTTCACCGCGCCCGCCTCCCCATGCCGCCGAGAGGGCCTGGGACTCTCTTGTGTGTCTGCCATCGCATCTCTGTCAATATGCTCCCTGGCCTTTGAGAATCATCCTCAGGGGATGGTAACTGACCTACTGGTTCTTCAGACCCGGTTTCTCGTGTGTGTTTTTAAATCGCTGCCCTAGAATGTCCCCTTTTTCAGTAACACGCTTAGATTTCCCCTCCGCCCCCTCAGGGTTTCGATTTTCTCCAGGAAAAAGTGAAGTCCATCGTTAAAACTGTATTGGCTATTTTAGAAGAAGCAGGCGGAGCCACATCATGTTTATAAAACTCGCAGATTATTGAATGGGTAACAAAGATTTGAATGACTACGTTTGAAGACGGTATTCTGTTTTTTTAAAATACCACTTCTGCCCGGCTGGTGTGGCTCAGGGGTGGAGCACTGACCTAAGAACCCGGGGGTCAAGGTTCAATTCCTGGTCGATAACACATGCCCGGGTTGTGGGTTCCATCCCCAGTGTGGGGCCCCTGCACCCCCCTACCCGCCCCCCCCCCAGGCACCCAGGTCACCGCACACGGGTACACCGCACCCCTGTCGGCCGGAGCTCAGCTCAGTGCGGGGTGTGGAGGCCGGGGGGTGGGTAGGGAGGTGGGGGGGGGGGGGGGGGACATGGCACCACGACACTCACCTTCAGCTTCTTGTTCAGCTTGCAGCAGTATCTGTACACCATGGCCAGGTTCAGGGGTCCGAAATCTGCATAGAAACTGAGATTAGGACAAAAACGGGAATTAATGAAACTGAGACGTTTGTTCTCGTTAAAGCTGCTGTCCGGTTTCAGTTATCCTCAGGAAAAGGGCCCGTTTACAGCTGACTCGTGGAAATCCAAAGGGCCGTCTCACACTGGGGAGCCACCTGCACGGCTTTGGTTCCCCCTCCTCTCCTCTCTCTGACCGGCCGGGACCCTCCCCTGCCAGGCGGCGAGAGAGCCCCCCGCACACGGCAGGCACCTGGCCCGCTGGCAGGTTTACTTCCTCATCTGAAAGCTCCCGGGCTCTGGGCCCCGGTTCCAACGATCCAGGCAGACCTCGCCCTCCGCTCACTCCGTTCACTCTCCCGGGCTCTGTCCCTCTCTCCGCCCCGTCGCGTCCCGGGCACGCTGTCCGTCTGCAGACCACCCAGCCCCGAGGAGAACGCTGGCGCCGCCTTCTCCGTCTCCCACTCCCTGCTCACCGCCCACCTACCGTGCTCCCACCACCCGGGCGAGCGTCCTCACAAGCCAGCGAGCCCGGCCAGCGTGGCTCGGACGCTGAGCACCGGCCTATGGACCAGGAGTCCCAGTTCCATTCCCCGTCCGCTCGCACCTGGGCTCCGGGCCCGATCCCCATTTAGGGGGCAAGCAGGAGGCAGCCGATGGATGATTCTCTCTCTTCACTGATGTTTCTCTCTCATCGATGTTTCCAACTCTCAATCCCTCTTCCTTGCTCTTTGTAAAAAATCAATAAAAGATATTAATCCAAGGATGTTGACAATACAAAAAAAAATTAACTGCTTTATAAATGGATGAAAAACAAGGCTCCCGTGTCTTCCCAACCCTGCCTGCTCGCTCGCTCGCTCGCTCACTCACTCAGCGGAGTCTTTACGCAAAGCTGCGGACCGCCCTTCCCTGCCACACGGCGCTCACCGCCCAAGGAGACGCCGAGCCAGTGTTATTCCAGCCACAGCGGCCTCCGGTGCAGAGGGTCATGTCACCCGTGTGCACGTGTGCACGTGTAAAACGTGGCTGCCGTTCACCCGCCAGTCCTCCGGGCCACACACGCCACGGCCGAGCAGGCTCCCCATCGCCGGGCCGTTATCAACATCCCTCCAGCCAGGCAGGAGCGCTCCTGTGCCTGGCTGAGTCTCAGGACAGGCAAGCTTCAAAAATGCCGGACTGCTCAGCAGACCCTGACCGACGATCAAGCGCCGTCCGAGTGTCCGCCCCCGCCCGCCCGATGCAGCTACGAGGCACCCCAGCCCCACACCCGGTACAGAGACCCCGATGGGAAACGGGGAAGCAGGGGATCTGGTCCCCACTGCACGGCTCCGAGTCCCTGGGCCACCACAGCCTGACCTACCGACATCGCCGGCTCCTGACGTTCCTTCCTGATCACCGAGGAACTAACCTGCACGCTTCCTACCGTATCCATCCCTTCGCCTCCTTGGCCGATGTGCATATTACACAGGCTTTTATCCGCCGAATGGCCAGATTATGATGATCTCTGAACGCATAATCATCTGGCCACCCAGTGTGTGGGTGTGTGTGTGTGTGTGTGTGTGTGTGTTTTAGAGGCCCAGTGCATGAATTCGTGCATGGGTGGGGTCCAGCCAGCCTGGTCAGGAGGAAGGAACATGGGCTGTTGGCCGGCCTGCCTGCTGGTGGAACTCCTGGTCAGGGGGACCATTTGCATATTAGCCTTTTGTTCTATAGGATAGACACAAAGTGGCCAGATGATTGTGCGTCCAGAGATCACCATCATCTGGCCACTCCATGGACGTGACCATATTTGATTTACACACCTTATGGCAGGTGAAAAGGAGGGGCTGTGGAAAGCAGCCTCCGAGCTGATCTGATCTTAAATTCCTGCTGGGCAGGTCCCGGAGGGGAGTCACCTCCCAGACACGGAACTTTTTTAGGAAAAGCTTTCTCTTTGCCTCAAGCAAGCCCTGCCCTTGTTCTCGTGCCTCCAGGCTAACGTGCCTTTGAAACAAGTGAAAAAGCACCTTCCACCCTGACCGGTGTGGCTCAGTGGATGGAGTGTCGGCCTGCAAACTCAAGGGTCCCGGGTTTGATTCCAGTCAAGGGCATGTGCCTTGGTTGCGGGCACATCCCCAGTGGGGGGTGTACAGGAGGCGGCTGATGGATATTTCTCTCTCGTCAGTGTTTCTAATTCTCTATCCCTTTCCCTCCCACTCTGCAAAAAATCAATAAAATATATATTTTTTAAAAAAGAAAAGGAGAAAAGAAAAAGAAAGAAAAAGCACCTTCCAGGGAGCACCGAGCTCAACTACCCTGGAACCCGAGCCCACCTCGCCTTCTCGACCTCCTGGGACCTGCCTCGAATTCCCTCCTCCGTGCCGAGCGCTCAGCCGGCTTTCCCTGCAGCATCCACAGCCTGAGGTCTTGCTGCCGGCCGCCGTCATCCGTGTGGCGCCAACGCCTTCCGGTAAAAATCCTCTCTGGTTGGGATGTTTCGTGACCCGGGGCAGGCAGAGGGGCCCCATCCTGTTCCGCTGCGGCTTCTGCTAAACGGCTCCGGCCCCCAAAGCCAGGCAGCCGGTCCGACGGCTCCGGCCCCCAAAGCCAGGCAGCCGGTCCGACAGCACCGGGCATCTCCCGGCGTCGGGGTCTGCCATCCCGTGACCTCCCTCCTGGGAGCAAGTCAGTCAATGACACCCTCCGGGGCGCTGAGACCGGGGACACCAGGCTCCAGGAATGCACCGGAGGCTCCGTTCCCTCCCAGGGGCCTTTCTCGGGCGGCGTGGTCAACCCTTCCATCCACCGCAGGGAGGAGGGCGAGGGGGCCGCGAGGAGGGTAGACACGTGGCTTTGGGAGAAAACAGAATGATGAGCTCTGCAGGCCTGGCTCAGTGGCTGAGTGTCGACCTAGGAACCAGGAGGTCAGGGTTCGATTCCCGGTCAGGGCACAGGCCCGGGGTTGGGGACTCGATCCCCAGTGGGGGGCGTGCAGGAGGCAGCCGATCCGTGATTCTCTCTCATCACTGATGTTTCTCTCTCTCCTCTCCCTGCCTCTCTGGAATCAGAAAATAAAAGAAAAGCACTAAAAGACACCAGGTGTTTAGCAAACAGACACGATGGGCGACATAAGCAGAGCCCCGGTTCTCTGGTGGCCCTGGAAGTATGTAGGTGATTGATAAACTCGGTGTTTTAAGTAAATCAGAGCCCGGGCTCAGAATCCGTCTTTAAAGAAGCCCCGCCTCCTGCACTCCGCGCAGCGAGCCCGGCTCCATGGGAGCCAGAGAGGAACGTGAGACGGAGCCGCCCACCGCCTCCACGGGCTCCACAGCCACGATTATCTCGGCGTCTAGGCCGGCCCCGTCTGCTTCTGCGAAAGACCACCAAGGTCAGGACCTCTCTGCCTCCCGCTGCAGACACACACGCCCCTATTCTGCCTTCCATCCCCAGCACCAAGCACCAAGAGGCGGCCCCTCCTTCCGATGTGCGTACGAGGCCACCTTCCACTCACCCGACACAGAAACCCCGAATTCACCCTCCATTCCTCCCGTCCTCCTCCTCTTCTTCCTCTTCCTCACGGGTCATCTGGTCAACCCATCCTTCCTGGCCCCTCGCCCACCTGGCCTTTCTGTTCCTGTTGCTACAGCCTGAGCTAACCCCGGCCACCCCGCCTGCCGGCCACCACCCCGCCTGCCCACGCCCCCCCTGCCGCCACAGGAGTGCTGTGCTGAAGCCCATCTGCCACTCACACACCAGCACCACCGAGGCCCAAATACCTTCCTCTAACCCAGTCCCAGCCCCGTGCCCAGCCTGCCCATGACCCCTCTGCCCCCAAATATTCCGCCTCCCCTAACAGAATGTGCTGTTCCCAAACAGACTTTTCTTTTTCTTTATTCCTCCCTTCCTTCCTCCTTCCCTTCCTTCCTTCCTTCCTTGCTTCCTTCCTCCCTCCCCTCTTCCCTCTCTTCTCCATCACTCATCACTCAGCTAACATTTCCTGAGCACCATCTGTGTGCCAGGCACTGTGCTGGGGGTAGGGACACAACAGTAAGCCAGCCAGGCAGTACTTGTCCCCGCAGAGACCATCCCAGACCCCTCGCTCTCCCACACCCCTGCAAAGCCATCGCACTGGCGGTGACCACCTCTTTCTCTCCAGGACTCCTACGCGTGCATGTGCAGCTTCTGGCGTTTACTGCTCCGTGCTTGTGTTCACTTCCTTCTTTACGTCTCCGAGTGGCCCCGAAGCAACGGTGGTGTGAGGGAAACCATCCCACCCGGAGGTCGGTGTCTTCTGCAGCAGCCTGCAGCCACATCCGCGGTGTCACGCCCACAAACACGTCAGGCGCTTTTGTTTTGTTTTTCATCACCAAGGCGCATGGAGCTGTGGCTACGTAAAACTCATTGGCTTTTGGCCCTCCGTTGTGTATATGAACTTACAAATGAGAACATCTCACACTTAGCAACCTACATCAAACAGAAGGAACGGCCCTGGGGTGACGGGGGAGGGCCGGGCCACTCTCGCCCCTGGACCCCCGCGGCCCCTTGGGGCTCCCTCAGGCTGCTGGTGGAGACCGGCCCTCTTTTAAGGGCGCCCTGACACCTCAGTGAAAACCTGCTTTGTCACCAGCTCTGTGGGGAGGAGCTGACAAGAACTTGTCCCCAGGACGACAAGACCCACTGGGAGTGCCAGAGGCCAAGGCAGCAGGTGTTGGCATAAATCAGGGTCCAGGCAGCAGCCTCGGACTCCAGCGGGCCCCAGCCCGGTGCTGCCTGGTGCGTGTGCACAGATGTGCGTGTGCACAGGTGCGTGTGTGCAGATACAAGTGTGCACAGATGCGAGTGTGCACAGATGCAAGTGTGCACAGATGCGAGTGTGCACAGATGCATGTGTGCAGATATGAGTGTGCACAGATGCGAGTGTGCACAGATGTGTGTTGTGCAGATACGAGTGTGCACAGATGTGTGTGTGCACAGATGTGAGTGTACAGATACGAGTGTGCACAGATGAGTGTGTGCACAGAAGCAAGTGTGCACAGATGCGAGTGTGCACAGATGCACATGTGCACAGATGCGTGTGCGCAGATACAAGTGTGCACAGATGTGTGTGTGCACAGATGTGAGTTTACAGATACGAGTGTGCACAGATGTGTGTGTGCACAGATGTGAGTTTACAGATACGAGTGTGCACAGATGCAAGTGTGCACAGATGTGTGTGTGCACAGATGTGAGTTTACAGATACGAGTGTGCACAGATGTGTGTGTGCACAGATGTGAGTTTACAGATACGAGTGTGCACAGATGTGTGTGTGCACAGATGTGAGTTTACAGATACGAGTGTGCACAGATGCAAGTGTGCACAGATGTGCGTGTGCACAGAGCCACGGTGGCCCCCTGGGGCCAGGTGGCTCAGCCTGAGCTCTGACTCTAACCCTGACCTGCGATCCCAGCCCGAGGAGCTGGGGCCACTTTCTCAGCCGCCGCCTCTGGCTGCCTGTTACTCAGCCCCTCTGGCCGGGGTAGAACAGAGTGCTCTTCACACCAGCCTCTCGTCTAACGGACCGCCTGCCCTACACACGAGGCCACCGTGTGACTCTCTCCACCCACTGCCCGGCCGCTTGGTCATGAGCACCAGCTCCCTCAGCCGCCTGCACAGGACACGCCGAGCCCCAGCCCCAGCCTCAGGGGGCGCCCTCCAGCTCACCGTGGCAGCCGCAGCCCCACGGGAGCCTCCAGCTCACCCAGTGGTTCCCACGCGGTGCACGCCTCCCTCTCCTCCCACTTCCCCTCCCCGCCACCCCAGGGCAATGTGATGTGTAGGGGGGCAACTCCAGAAGGAGTTCTCCCCCTCCTTTCCACTCTCTCTGCACATCAATGGGAAAATACCCTCTGATGAGAATTAAAAAAAAAAAAAACCCTCACACTATCCACGGTGGTCTCCCTGCGGTCTTTCTCAGGAGACAGCAGAAAAAAGAATGAGAGGGATGCTGGGTGTAGCCCTATTCTAAAACGCCAACAGGAAGATCACACCAAACAAGCGGCCCTCGTCCATCGGCCCACAATCCGAAGCCCACTGAGCCACACGGTCAGCTGGCTCGATGTCACTGTCTGCTGGCCCCCCCCGTCTGGCAATCCCAAGAGAAGCCACTCGGGCCTCGGTGCGTTCAGACTCCCCACCTCTGGCTGTAGTCACTGCGGGACTGGCCATCATGGCACACGCACAGTCCCCCGCGCTCAGACGCCGGGAGGTGCCCAAAGCCTGAGCTCGCCAAGAGACGGCCACAGCAATGCACCATCCGAACGTGAGCGGCACTCGGAAACACGCCGGCGGACAGCGCCCGGGTCCCGGGCGGGACAGGCCACCTGCTCCGGCTCCGCCCAGCAGCCCAGCTGGAACCTGACTCCGGCCTCAGCCCTCCTGCAGCCACGGGGGCAGGTTCACGGCAGCAGCCACGCTCCGTATCCACGGCCACCACGGGCATCCTGCCCCGCTCCTCTGCCTGAGGGAGAGTCCCCAGACACCGGGTCCGAGCATCCCACGTGAACGTTAGTTTTCCCTCCAATCAAAGACAGGCACCTGCCCTCACCGGTGTGGCTCAGTGGATAGAGCGTCGGCCTGCAGACTGTGAGGTCCCAGGTTCGATTCTAGTCGGGGTCATGTACCTTGGTTTCAGGCACATCCCCAGGAAGGGGTGTGCAGGAGGCAGCTGATTGACGTTTCTCTCTCATCAATGTTTCTAACACTCATTCCTCCCTTCCTCTCTGTAAAAAAAATCAATAAAATATATTTAAAAAATAAGTAAATAAAAAGGACAGGCTCCTGAAGGCCAAGGATACTCACTCTCGGATGCCTGGCGGCGCCCAGCAGGCCAGGCAGAGCTGCCCAGCTCCCTTTCAACAGGGCGGGCCCCAGGGAGCTAACTAGGGCGACCAGGGCTCAGGTGACGATGCTCATCTCACTGCACATGTAGGTGACACAACAAGAAAGTGAAATTCGCCCTCTGAGCCAAACCAGTTAGAGCTGAGCGTCAGCCTGCGGACTGAAGGGTCCCGGGTTCGATTCCAGCCAAGAGCACATGCCCTGGTTGCAGGCTCAATCCCCAGGAGGGGGTGTGCAGGAGGCGGCCAATCAATGATTCTCTCTCATCGTTGATGTTTCTCTCTCTCCCCCTCTTCCTTCCTCTCTGAAACCAATAAAAATATATGTCTTTAAAAAAGAAAGTAAAAGTAAGTGTTTACGTTGGAATAGCTTAGGATTATATGAAACCCCAGTTTCCTTTTCCCCCTAACTTTTAAACTGGTTTTAGAAAGACTGGGAGGGAGAGAAACACCGACCTGTTGCCCCACAGGCTGACACCTTCGTTGGCTAGTTCTTGTCTGTGCCCTGACTGAGGATCGACCCTGAACTTGGTCTACTGCAGCGGTCGGCCAACTCATCCGCCCACAGAGCCAAATGTCAACAGCACAACGATGGGCATTTCTTTGGAGATCCACATTTTTAAAACGTAAACTTCTTCTAACGCCACTTCTTCCAAACAGACTGGCCCAGGCCGTGGCATTTTGTGGAAGAGCCACCCTCAAGGGGCCAAAGAGCCGCCTGTGGCTCTCGAGCAGCAGTTGGCCGACCACAGGTCCAGTGGATGTGGGTCTCCCCCACTGAGCTACCCGGCCCAGCGCTGCCCCAACCCTTTCAATAGGAGGGCATCGTCCAGCCCACTGAGTCTCCTTACTCCTGATGCTGCTTTCAATGAAGAGAGATTTTCTCTGTTTGAATGGTCGCTATGCTTACTACGTACTGAGATACCTCTTCCTGCGGGTCCTGCACAATAAGCAGGTCCACTCTCTTATCCACACGCTCAGACCCACATTCCAAAGCAGCGAGGTAACCACAGAAGGCAGTCCGCACTCCTCTGCCCTCCCCGCAGGCAGGGCAAAGCACACGGGGGGGCTCCGTGCACCCACTTGGGGAAAGTCACTCCCCAAGTCACATTTTTAAAAAACCGCCCCCTCAGAGCAAACACCGGATCCAGCCCCGCGCGCCCGCTTTCCGAGACAACCAGCCGCACCAACGCCAACTTCCCGCGAGCCAGCAGCGGCCTGTGGCCTGCGAGGCTGCAGCCCGGGGACGCGCACTGCCCTGGCCTCGAACCCCGGGCCGCTGCAGAGTCCCACAGGGACCTGGAGGGGTCTCCCTGACCGGCTCTGGGAGGGTTAATCCCCAGGTGCGGTCGGTCCTGGTGGTCAGAACTAGTACAGACAGACAGACAGCCGCCCGAGGACTGAGGTGTTGACAGGCTCATCTTCTCTTCACTTTCAGCCCTGGCTGGGTGGTGGGTGGTTAGAGCACCCTCCTGCTACCTCAAGGCTGCAGGTTCGATCCCTGGTCAGGGCCCATCGCGTAAACAACAAACGGAGGTCTCCCTCTGCGTCTGTCTGTCTCTATCCCAAAGGAACACGTTTAAAAGGTAAAATAAAGTCGCCTCTCCCCCAGCGCCTGGCCCTGCTCCTCGCACGCAGCCTTGGGGGAAAGGGACTAAAACAGCCGTAAAGTTAGTGGTGTTTCCTCGCCAGCTAAAGGGCTGAGAAAAAAGCGCGCGCGCGCGCACACACACACACACACACACACAAAAACACCCAGAAACTTACTTTTCATAGACCAGCTCCTCGTCGATGGAGAAATAGTGGATATGAACTGTGCTTTTGGGTCTATTCCTTAAAGTAGCAAAATATAAACGATCTGAAAGACAAGTTCAAAAGACGGAGAAACTGTGAGAAGGGGGAAGCTGGGGGGGGGGGGGGGGCGACCACAAGGGGAGGTCAAAACAGCCAGGTTCCCCATTCCTTCTCCCCCCACCCCCAACCAGCCCCCCACACACACAGACTCACACACACACACCCCACACACTCACACACACACACACACACTCACACACTCACACGGGGCTCCTCGGGGGAACCTGGTCTCCCGGAAGGAGAGACCCAGGGGCTGTGCACCCAGGGCGCCCCGGGGGGGTAGGAGGGGGTGGGGGGGCTCCCGGCAGAGCACCGCCGGGTCGGGGTCAGGGTCGGGGTCAGGGGCAGGGTCGGGGCAGGGTCGGGGTCAGGGTCGGGGTCAGGGTCGGGGTCAGGGTCAGGGTCGGGCCGGGGCGGGAGCGGCCGGGAGCCGGCCCGGACCGCGTGCGGCGGCTGGAAGCTGCAGCCGCTGCGGAAGGGGAGGGCGCCTGCCCCGCGGCCCGACTCGGAAGAGGAAGGGGCCGGAGCGATCGTGGGGCCGGGGTCCCGGGCGCCGGGGGGAGGGCGGCCTGAGGGCCCGCGGCGGAGGCCGGGGGCGGACGGGCCGGGCGGGGGCATCGCGGGGCCGGGGCCGGGCCCTCACCTGGCACCAGCTCGCTCGCCCCGCTCAGGTCCGCGGGCTCCGCTGCCATCTTAGGCGGGAGGCGCGCGGGGCCCCGGGGGCGCGCGGGGGCGCGGGGCTCAGCGCGCCGGGCGCCCCGGGCACATTCCGCGGGGCCGCCCCGCCCCAGCGCCCGGGGCCGCGGCCGCTGCGATCGGCGCCCGGCAGCCGCTCGGCCGGGCAGACGGGGCCCCCGGCGCGCGGGGCGGTCATGGAGGAGCCCGCGCCCCGATCGCGCGGCCACTCGCCGGCGGCGGCAGACGGCGGCCGGCTGGGCCCGCTGCTCCGCGCCGCCTCCGCTCCGGACTCTTCCGCCTCCGCCGCCGCCGGTCAGCTCCCGGCCGCCCTTAAAGGGCCCGCCCCGCCGTCGCCAGGGCCGCGGTCACCTGGCGCCCGTCGCCAGGGCTTTGTTGGCTCCGCCAATGGCGGGCGGGAGCGGCCGGGCCGCGGGGGCCGGCGGCCTCCGGACCCGCATCCAGGAGTGACCCGGGCGGGGTGCGCGGCGCCCTCCCGGCCTCTCCGCGCCCACGTCCTCCCAAACTCTGGCACAGGCACAGGCACACATATGCACACATGCACACACACATACATGCGCACACGCACGTACACATCTGCACATGCACACACACATGCACCGCACACGCATGCACACACATGCACGTGCGCGCGCGCTGCACACAAGGAGCCCTGGCTCTCCGGCTCCGCCCGCCCCGCCCGCCGGACGCACCGCGGGGCCGGGGAGGCCCGGGGCGGGCGGCTACCTCCGAGCGCCGAGGACCGCGGGCCGGCGTCCTCCGCGCACGCCGCGCCCTGGGAGAAGGAGCGCTTGGTTCTCATCGGGGCGGCCGTGCCCATCCGGCCCCCGCGCGCCCCGCTCTGGCCGCCGCCGGCCGCGGGCATCACAAACGCCCCCCGCGCCGGGCGGGGCGGCCCGGGGCGGGGCGGGGCCGGGGACAGGCCGGGGCCGGAGGACTGGGGGGCCGGGGTCAGGCCGGGGGCCGTGTGTCCTGGGGGGGGGGGGGGGACACCCACCCAGAGTGCCTTCCCGCCGCCGCCCCGCAGGAGCGCGGGGAAGGGTGCCACCCCTAGGGCCTCCCACCCCCGGTGGTTTGTGGACAACTTCAAGGCGGGGACCCGCGGCGACCAGAGCACAGGATATGAAAATGGCGCTCCAGGCCCGTCGTCAGAGGAGCATGCGCCCTGGGGTTTGTGCGGAAATCAGAGGGGCAGCCGGCGGCGCCCCCACCGCCCTGGAGGAAGGGGGCGCAGGGGCTCCCGCCGGCCTCTGCCCAGGGGCAGCCTCGCGGGCTGCGCAGAAGCTGACCAGGCCCGGACAAGGATAGAGGCACGTCGCCCCATGTGCAGAAGGAGGATCCAGAGCATCTCATGCTGATGGACATGCCTCTTCAGGAAAACCTACCCTAACATCCAACCCTCTCAGCCCAAGGCCAGAATCCTACCCACGGAAAGCCGGAAGAACCTCTAAAGGGCACCTTTCCCCACCCCCAGTCCTCACAGCAGGAAAACTATCTCAGAAGAGTTTTTTAAATGTGAGCCTCCTGAAAAGGAGGCCTTGTGAGGCTGGTTCCACTCTGCTGAGACGCATTCCCTGTTTTAGGGCCAGGGGCCCCTGGCTCTGAGCTCTGAGAATGGAAACATCCCTTGAGCACCGTGGTCCACAGTCACACAATCAGTTGCATTTTGCCTGCTGTTGAGTCCCCCAAATCTTGGTGTCAACAAGCACGGGGGCCAATTCAATTCAAAGTTCCTGAGAAATCCCCACCGAGATGTGTATATGGAAAAGCCAAGCGCTCGCATGTCTCAACCAACGTGCCCGCCTTGATGAAAAGGCTAAAGGAATTCATCCATGGGGAGCTTTATCCAGATCTGCCCATTTAAAGTCAAGCAGAATCTGAATTCGCTGACCAGATTCCCGTTTTGTATTAGAAATGCTCATCAGGAAAAGAAGATGGAGTTCTCGTTCAAAGCGTACTTCGCATTTCTCCAAGGAAGCGGTCTGATGAAAAGAACTCAACTCTAGGCCCTCAGAGAAGGCAGACTTCCTTGAACACCCTTCTGTTACTTCTTAAATTGAGTTTACAGAAACATGTTCTTCCTATAATTCTCTCGCTTAGAAATTCGGGTCATGAGGAGTGAATCACGGCCTAAACAAATAGACACGTCCTTCCAATTGAGCCCTCAAAATGAAGCGGTTTATTTTTCCTTAGCACACATACAATAGGAGCATTATAATGACATTTTTGAAGGTGTAATATTCATTTCAAAGAACCTTAAGTTTAAAAAAAAAAAAAAGTGATTGTATAATCCAAGCTCTCAAGCAAAATCTGCAGAACCTTCATACATGGCACAGAAAAGCCTGCAGGAAAAATGAATACAGTGCACACAGCACACACCCGTGTCAAGGTTCTAACGAGATCACAAACACTATTCTCTCAACTATGAGGTCAGAGTTCCCACTGGTTGTAGTTTCATAATAAAGCCATGATTTCGCCGTCCGTGGAGGAGGATCATGAGAGACACTCCTTTCCAATCACCCAACTTCATCTAAAAGTTAGGAATCTGCTTTCAAACAAACAAAGTGTCTCACACAGAAGAAATACTGAAATAATAAGATGTCATTCGCCTGCAGGAGAGGGAGCCAGTGTTATTCACAGAAATGGAATAGCAGAGAAGTGGCTGTAAAGAACAGCACTCCGTCTAACGCTGCAAATGTCCTGCGAGTGCTGCCGCCCGAGAGCAGGCCCGGCCTTTGCTTGCGAGCAGCAGAGCGGGAAAAGCCAGAGCTGAAGGCAGCTCCGAACTACGCTGCCCCCCGTTCTAACCCTGCCCCTCACGGCTGTCCTGATCGCCCTTAGTCACTCTGGAACCTAACGGTCCCTCTGAAATGCAAGGGCTGGGCATCGACCGATGAGCCAGGAGGTCTCGGTTCCATTCCCGGTCAGGGTACATGTCTGGGTTGTGAGCTTAGTCCCCAGCGTGGGATGTGCAGAAGGCAGTCCATCAATGGTCCTCTCTCATCGTGGATGTTTCTCTCCCTCTCTCCCTCTCCTTCCTCTTTGAAAAAATAAATAAATAAATATATATATATATCTGGCTCTCTCAGACCACTTCTTCCTCTTAGTCTTTCCCAGATTACGTCCTTCCCCCCACACACACACACTTTTTTTCAGCCTTTTCTTAAATCCCACGGCCCCCTTGCTGGCCGGTCATTCTCTTCTCAGATTTGTCTGTATCCCTCAGTGTGTCCCAGAGCGAACGTAGGCCGGTGGTGGCCTGGCCGCCGGCTCTGATATCAGAAAAAAGCAGTGAGGGGAGATTCAGGTGGGAACGAAAGCCATACAAAACATAAAACACGAATTGTGTTACTTCCCTGTGAGAAAACATCTCCAAGAAAAAGGCAGCCCAGATGGCCCAAGGCCTGACAGCTGTGATATTTACATCTTGTATCTGTTTAAAATGATAATCGTTTCTCAGAACATATCCTTAGAACATGCACTTCTAGTTCGTGTCATCATCCTGGGACCCAAACAAGTAGAAGAAAGCATAGAACACATACTCTGAATTCTCTCTAAAAGTAATTTTCAGTTTAACTAGGAAGCCAGGTCTGCAGAAGCCTACACTGCTGAGGAATTGGAAACCCAAGGTCATTTCGATTGCTTGGATATTTGAGGATTAATTCCCTCTGCCTGATGCCAGGAATTATGTAAAGCAGTTTTGGGTACAATATACACACAAGAAATGGTGACACTTACAAGAAGAATACCAAAAATACAAAGACAGTGTGGCTTTTGAAGCAGCCACCCACAATGCTAAGACCTGGGCCCACCCCCATCTCACTCTGCACCCCTCTAATCACCCATGCCTTTAAGAGTTCCAAACCAGCCCTAACCGGTTTGGCTCAGTGGATAGAGCGTCGGCCTGCAGACTGAAGGGTCCCAGGTTCGGTTCCAATCAAGGCCATGTACATTGGTTGCGGGCACATCCCCAGCGGGAGGGGTGCAGGAGGCAGCTGAAAGATGTTTCTCTCTCATCGATGTTTCTAGCTCTCTATCCCTCTCCCATCCTCTCTGTAAAATAATCAATAAAACATATTTTTTAAAAATAATTCCAAACCAGAGGAGAGACAGCAGGAACGAGGTGGGACCTGGGACATCAGCCAGTTCCCGTGTTTCAGGCATCACTCTGTTGCCAATGGCATGCCTTATCTTAGACCGTTTGCCCTGCCGTTAAGCAGGAATTACATTAATTTCTAACGCGTAGGAATAACAGTCGAATTAAAGAAGTGTGCCATGTTGTCATGCCATTGTACACAAAAATGTGTTATTGATATAAAAGCCTACGGTAGATACTAAATTATTTCCAAAATATGATTTTCAGGAACTTCACCTTATCGTGCCTATTTGTATTGTTGCTTAGCTTCCTCCCACTTCACCACATCACACAGCACACACACTCACGGAGACGCTGAGGACAGCTCCCTGGTAAAAGGGCCGTCCTTCATTTCCAGATTGCCTGTGGCCGTGACGCTGCTCCAGAGTGTGATGGGGGGATGGGGGGATGGCGGGGAGGGCAACGACCTCCCCCCTCCTCTCCCGCCTGCAGGAGTCCTCAGAGGGTCCCCAAATGGCCCTGCTCTGGCTCGCCTGCCTTTGCTCGCTGTTCCAGAAGCCTGGGGCACAGATGTTGTTCCCGCAGTTTCCATGGAAACCCCGGATGCCCCCGTGGAACTCCCGATTCCTGGGGCCGGCTCCCGGGCAGGGACCCGGGCGGGAGTGATCCAGTCGATCTGAGCACGGGGGCCTCCGGCTCCACTCCTCCATCACAGGGCGCGGCGCCGTCATTGACAGGCCCCTGCAGGCTGTTCTCCCTGCTGCCACCTACCCTTAGACACGTGCCCGTATGGACCCCCGGGGGGAGAACGGCTTTCCCGTGCCAGGCCTGCCTGCAGGAGGCGCTCTGTCCTTCAGCTGAGACCCAAGGCAGACGTTGAACGTGTTCATGTAGGACACG